GATGTCTGCAAACATACCCTGATGAAATCAAGGCAAGTTACACAGTTCCGCTTTTAAAACAGATCTGCTGTTTGAAGTAAATCTTAGCTGCGGGTCCCAGGTACGACCTTGGTGAGATGCCTTGTGGCATGATCACAGTTTGCTCCTGATACAGTATGATTTATTGCCACGGCGATACGGAATTCTGCATCTCCACTTTCTGCCTGCACGTAATGAAATAAGAGGTGGTCTGCCTTTCTTTGGATCGGCCGGTTGGCACTGACCAGTTGTTCTCCCCATGGCATCGACCAAGCTGGTGTCCAGGCTCACTGAACTGAGGAGGGAACTATTTATTTCCATCTACTATTAAGACAGAGCTTCTACACCGTTTCTGCCAGAGATACGGCGAGTATGTGCGCCAGAGTTCTCTAACGGGCTCCCATTCATTTCCTCGTGGTTAAAAAGGGTACAAAGGAGAAACTACTGAAACAAAAAATGTCAATTATAAAGATATGCTCATGGCAGCCAGCAATTCCCCCGTTTAAAAGGAATGTTCCAAGATGTAAATTTCATCATTCTCTGAATTAAGGAAGACGTTTAAAGAGCATCTGTGGATGAGTTTGAGTAAGTTTGTTCTGTGAGTTGCTAGAAGAGAAAAGAGACTCTCCTGATGTGCTGCAACAAATCGTTCCCAGCACTTCAGCTTCATACACTAACTGAAAATGAAGAGGAAGCAACACAATATTGGATGAACCTGTTTCAGAATGTTGGCTCGGACCACAAAGCAAGTAATTAACAAGCTGAATGAAGCATTTAAGCCCACGCCTTATCATTTATGTAACTAACCTTTGAGTTTTGGATGCACTGGCATGCTGCAGTGAAGCCTACACAGTGTTTCTTTTATGTGTGTGTATTAAGCAAATGGGAAATGCATACCCTGCCATTTGTTTTTCACATTTTCAGTGCTTATCGGAGTTCTCTGCCTGAGTGATCTTATATTGCAAAAATGTACGCCTCTCTGTCCTTTTTGCTGCAGTGCAGCATCAATCCAGATGAGTTTTGGCCTTGTTATGTGTGTGGGGGGATGTAGTCTACTTTTCAGGGCGCTTGTGAGCTCGTTTAAAGCATGATTATTAGCACCAGAAAAGAATTAATCGAATGCTGCTTTTCTCCAAAGAACAAAAAGGATGGCAGGGGATGCTGCAAGCCCCTCGTTTCTGGGGGCAGCCTTCACCAACAGCTTTGGAAACAGAACAAGGAACGCTGAAAGCTGAGGCCACTGGTTGAGAGGTCTGAAAAGAAGGCGCTTCCGTTCTTCTAACACATCTGTTTTTCCCATCCTGAGAAATGCTGGGCACATGTGGAGCACTGAGACTGCTTATGACAACATCAGCTTCCTACAGAGCAACTAATATTTAACAGTGCAGTGTAGCATCGCTTCTGCTCTCGGGGAATGAGTCATTTTGCTTACTGATTCCTCCACTTTCGTCTCTTCCTCCCGTTCTTTCCCCCATCACTTTATAACCAGACTTATTTGGAACCCTTGTAAGACAAACGCCGTTTCTCCTTGGCGGGAGGGAAATAAAACAGCACACTTAACATGGTTATATAAGACACTGCTACTCATGCCTAAAATGAGGTCATTTTGATTAATATATTTATCTGCTGCGCAGCTGTAACAGGAGATATAACTGTGGTTAAAAGCACCGTTTTGTTTAGTCTCTTTGCAGTGCAGGATTCACTTTTCCCCAGACTGGATGGGAGCTAGTCGTTAGTTAATGTGCTAATTGGTGCCCTCAGGCCATCTCCTAGCCCTCCAAACTTTGGAAAATCCTCATGGTGCAGAAAGACAACTTCCTTTCTTTCTTCTGTTTTAAGAAACAGTGCAAGAATTCCTCATCATTACATTTTTTAAGAAATAATCCAGTGAAGTACATAAAAGCAGGAAAGAAAATGTGGGAGAAGTGAAGGTGCTGCGAGCTGTCAGGGACAAAGAGGAGTTGAGCTCAGTGTGATAGAAATGGTGCACACAAAATGTGATTCCCCAAGGGCGATGGCGTTGCTGGATGACGGATACAGTAAAAAGAGCAGGGGGAGTGATGAAGGTAGTGACATGGGCTGGGAGAAAAGCTGAGCAGCATGCTGCCAGTGGCTCTAGCATCATCGATGGGAATCGCAGAGCTGGTAGGATTTGCTTTTGGAATACAAGCAGATGTATTTTTCTTTGGGGATGTGAATTGCCATTCTTCAAAGTTGTGACGCATTCGGTTCTATTTCAGTTTGATGACTCCTAACCAGACACATTAGGAGCTGCTGCTCAGAAGCCAGCATTAAAAACACTGTGTTTTTCTCTTCCCTTCTTTCTGGCAAAAAGCTCATTATTCAACTGCTTTCTCTAACCTCTAGTTACCCTGGTTGCATAACTGGAAAGCAGCATCCCACCATGCACTTCTGCGACCCAGTTGTGCCTTTCCAGGAGTGACTTTATGAGTTATGAAAGGTGTGTCTGCCAAATTGCTACAGAAACATTTACTCTACTGACCCTGATTTCCCAAATATTGAATAGCCGGCGTTCGCTCAGGAGTTTCAGCATCAAGCGTAAAGAAAATGAATTCGGCTCTGTTGAAAATGCTTCTGTATGTTCTTCAGCCGTGGTGGAGCTTGGGCTTCTCATTGATTAAAAAAATATATACTGGTAGAAACCGTTTTTAAATCGTGAATGCTTCACTAAACCTTCAAAACAAATTTCAGCTGGTACGTTCAGTGCTAACAGTGACAGCGCAAATCATTGAGTCATCCATGGAAGAGACTGAATGCTAATTGCTCTGTTGAACGAGCTTACAGTCTAAATGCTGGTGTTCTGAATTCAGAGCTTCTAGATTGTCTGCAGACCTGCTAAAATCCTTTCACACTGTGGTGCCACCTATTACTACATTTCCTCTGCATGCCAGAGCCTCCATGCAGATGAAGCTGAACTTCTCATCAAACGCATAGAGAAAACCATTTATTACTAGTGTTACTTTCACAAAATCTTCCTGCAGCTCGTAGAAAAGACAAAAAAAAAAGCCACTTTTTTTTCCTCCTTTTTCATCATATAATACAGCATAAGTCAGTTATATAAATAAAGCCACTTACATAAATAGCTTAATTCTCCTTTCGCTTATAGCATTACAAGTCAAGAGCAGATCTACTGTGAGAGAAGATGCCATGCTGGCACAAGGCTGCCAGCAACAGCACGCTCTGGCTGTCAGTTCTGCTTTAACTACCTGAAAGCTGTCCATGAGAAGAGGTAAACTGTGGCAGCTGAGGGCTGTGCATGCAAACCCTGCTCTTTGCTGGTGCTCTGGTTCTCAGGTAGCCTCCATCAATGCAGAGCTTCACAGAGCGGCTAGTTGTAATACAGCTGGGGAAGAAGGCCAGGTGACATTACCACCCTCTAGGAAGAACCATTTCATCTGTTCTGTTGTGGGATTTCTGGAGTTCTAAGTGGCTGCTGATAGAAAACGTGCTCAGTTTGAAAGCAACACAGATTTGAGAACAGTGACAACAAAGCCCCGCCACGCGGTCCTTTGCACCCTAAGTTTCTTTTTTCCCTTTGCGCGCGTGGCCAAGATGGCGGCAGGCAGCACCTCACGTTTAGAGACAGAAACATGGCAGTGCTTTAACTCAGCTCTACAGAGAACTGCAGCACATTGGGAGACGTCCCAGCACTTTGTGACACTTCACTAAGAGAACTAACAGCACGTCACAGCTCACTGCCCGCACTGAGCGAGGGCAGAACAGCCAGGCACTGCTGTGGGCCGAGCCCTGATCACAGCCCAGCCCTCATGGCTGCGGCATTAGGAACCACGCGGGGCACGGAAGTGCTTTGCCAGGAACTGCTTTACGCTGCTTCTGCTTTTTGGTGATCGCTTTAAAGTGAGACATTAAGTAATTGACTTCAGAATACTTCATGAGTCCCTTGAATCAATCTCTTCTAAAGCGTGCTGAACAAATAGAGTTGGGAATTACATTTGCTACCCCAGATTTGTTTTATTTATTTTCTGCTTTAAACTACAACTAAAAGCCATTCTTAATTAAGGCTTTCAGAATTAAAACTGAGAACTGAAAGGAATCATTTATCTGCCGTGTTCCCAAGCAAAGCTTCAGCTTTGGCTGTTTCTTGATGTAAAAGCACTTCAACCAAAATAGTTCCCTGCTCAGATTCAGATTTTTGTTATAGGAAACCGCAGCCCTGACATAATTAGCTGTTGGCTTACTAAATTCAGCCTTCAGGCTGTGCCCCGCATTCTAAAATAAATGCAGGACCTGAGCAAGCTTACATAAGAGAGCAGCGAGGTGATCTCTGGTGCCACAGGTGACAGGATTGGAGCAGCAGAGCGCAGCCACAGCACTCAGCTTGTCTGGTGATGAGGTGAAGGAGCAGCCCTTACATATCTCTAAAAGCTAAACTTTGGTGACTCTTCCATGTTTTCAGCAGGATAAAACGTGGAGCTGTTCTCTCAATCTGGGGTTTATGAACAAAAGTCCTCTTTTTCAGCTTTTTTCTGTAAGCTGGGGACTTCAAAAGTGCTACAGAGCTTTCAAGCTGAACGTCACGCTTTCATGGGTTCACCGGCACAGCTTAACAAGAAGCTGGGGCTCACTTTTCCTGGCCAAGGCTACGCATGGAAGGCAGCCTAGCTCGTTTCTAATCACAGAAACAGGGGCAACGACTCACTAAGGCAAACAGCACAGGAGGCACAGAAGCACACCTTCTGGAAGCCAGGCTCTCAGCTCTTCCCATTGCCCCTTCTCTTCTACAGCGAAGATCGAAAGTGTTCTGCAGGTCCCTTACAAAGGCAGAGTTTTGGGCAACCGCCTTCCTTCCTGTGGGTTCCTCCCTTCACATCAGATTCTGCTGTGTGGCTGCAGGGCCTAGGATTTGTTCTTCGTCCCTTTTTCTCTAATACCTAAAAAAAAGCAGCTCCTGTGTCAACAGTGGTTCACACCTGACGTACTTGGTTATGCAAGCCAAAGAGTAAAGAACACAAAAATTTTAATTAGCAAACAACGCTTCACACAGACTTTGTTGGTACAACATAATTGTAAGTACATCTACAAACAAATACAGGATCTTTGGACTATGATTTTTTTTTTTTTAAATATTTTATATGACAACGTGAACAAATCTGGAAAAAAAAAAACAAAGTACTTCAACCTTACGTTGAGGTAGCTGAACAGTGCCCTGTTCAGTGGCATGAGAGTTTCATTTCAAGTTCGTTACAGTGCACAAAAATGATGTTTTACAAACAAATGGAATATACAGGTCAACAAAGAGCTTTTTATTTAGAATGGCTTGAGAGATATATATTTCTGGCACTCTTATAACCACGTAGCTTGATGGAACTAAATTGGACGAGTATATGGTGCCAAATTAAGACATCTTATACAGATAGTCTGTTCCTCCCCATTTTTGTACTTCTCCATCCCCCACCAGGGAATTACAGAAGCTAGTACATTGGTTTTGCTACACTTCTGCTCTGTAAACCTTTGATCTGCAAATTTAAAGATTGAAAGGTGCATATGCTCATATTTATAAAATATATGGCTGTGACTCTCTTAAAAAGCTCAAGAATGGCAATAACAGAATACAGGCACTTCTATGTGAGGGTTACTTTAGACCTTAGGAAATTCCACTCTTTGTAAGCAATTCACATGACACCTGGATGAGTAAGTCAACATAATAGCTCCATTTTTTTTTTTAACTGTTATTATTTTTGAAGTATTACCCACCATTTTAATCCTGACAAAGCAGATTCATTCTTGTACCCAGACCACATTTATTTAACAGAGCATCTCACAACAGCGACTTGACTGAGCTACCACCTTGCTGTAGCTTTCAAAGATTTTCCAAAGCTGCTTTGGACTGAGCCCCAGACCACCACATCTTGAGGACGTGCTGCACCACTTACAAGTCAGGCTGCAAAGCTGACAATACAAGCTCAGCCCGTTTTGCTTTCACCTGATGTAGGGCTCAGGGGACAGGAAAGCACTGCCCTCAGTGCATACAGTTCCAGTGGGGCTGGTATGCATGAGAAAAACTGTAAATAATTTACATGTATTTTTTAAAAGTAAGCTTCTGAATGTGTCCTCCATTCCTAAGCACTGCATTTCACTACAACTGCTGTCTGTCACTAACTTAAACACCAGCAAAACTTCAGCACCAAGCAGGATTCACCAAAAGACTGTCTGAATAATTTCATAAAGCTCTTTCTTCACAGTGCAGGTGAAACCAGACCTGCTGCATCCAAATCTCAATGACTTTATTTTCATTAAAGTTTGGGTGAGGAGACCTGTGCTTCAGGTGTTCTGCTCACAAGCAGCAGCACAGGAGAGAAGCTCTGCTCAGCCATGCAGTGTGACAGCTTGCCTCTTATTGCTACCACTCATGGAAGAGATCAGCACTTAAAGATGAAAAAAAGAGGACTATGTAACTAAAACTGTTTTAGCATCAACTGGAACTAAAACCATCAATTAGATTTTATCACACCAACTTATGATTTAATTATTAATACTAATGAACTGCATTCTACAGCTGTGTCTGAGCTCAGTCAGGTTGTACAATTTAACCTGAAAATGCAGCTGTGCCCCAGGTTTACTGTCAAAGCTCTCCATGCCCAGCTAACAGCTGTTCTCACAGAAACCGCTCCTGCACAAGGCAACGTAAGTCAACGTTACTATAGAACTCTGTAAGCGGGAAAATTAATGTAATTTCCTTCAGAAAACCCATCTGTTTAATTAGAAGGTAAATACGTGCTGAAAAAGTTAGAAAGGTGATACAGCCAGCCTTTGCTATTTGATGTGTTTTGTTAAATCTTTCATTTACAGAAGTGTGAAGAGATTTCAAATGAATGAAGTACATCTCACAAATGCAAGCTGTCACTTTCAGGAGGCCTCCAGCTGCCTGGATGGCTCACCACCATATCCTACAGGAGACCAGCACTTGCTTGGGTCATTCTATTATTGGCTTTACTCTCCATCACAGGAAAAAAACTGATCACATTTCTATGAAAATGGAATAACTTCTGATTTTACACAGTCACTTAGGGTCTAAGGAAATGCCTTTCCTTGAAGGCAATAGTAGGAAGCCTATGGATTACTTATGGCTTCACTACAAAAGAATAATCACTACTTCTAGCCACAGAGGAAATGTAAATCCAATAAGTGCTTTTTTTTTTTTCTTCCTTTTTTTTTTCTTTTTAGATAAATAAAAGCAAGAGTGGTTGAAATAAAACAAGTGCCTAGAATGCAGTGAATAAAATACCAGCCCCAGTTAGATGTAATCAATGTAGTTTCTATAATTCAAATTAAGGTGTCTGAGTCTGCTCAGTTGTTTAATTATGCCTGTAATAAATACTGCATTTACAACTTTGTGCCAATTCCATACAGTTGTTGTTCAGAGCATGTATTCTATACGCTGTTCATAGAGAAGCATGGAAAGCACCACCTACAGAAGATGCCAGGAGTGCAGCAATCTAGCAGTATGGAAACGAGCTGTAGCATTTCTAGAGCAGCTAAATGCCAACACAGGGTACATATTCCATTTGCATAACGAAGCTGAATTGTGTCTGTCTTCCATTCTTTGGTACCCTTATGGGAAAGTGCTATAAAATTTAACAAGAGGGGGAATAAAAGATATTACAGAAACCTGACAGTACAGAAATTACTCTCAATGTATATTTCTGATGAAAGAATGATGGTGAGAAATAAATCACACATGGAAAACTGACACTAATTTCTACTGCACTGTTCCATAAAGGCATGGAATGGGCAACAGTGCTGTCCTGGGTAAAAACATCAAGAAAAATTGTAGCATTCCACAACAGTTTGTTTTCCCTTCCCCCCCCCCAACTGAAATTAATGAATGTCAATGTTGGCCCCATGGAAGACGAGCTCCAGAAGCTGGTAGACAGAAAGCAGTAAAAAGTGCAAACAGCTTGTTGATTTAAAGCAAAAAGCAATTGATGCTATTCTCATTTTTGCCTTGTTTTTACCTGCCTCATTAGCTAGAAGCGATCATCCAAAAATTCACTTGTTTTCCTTAGCAGTTAACTACTATTAGCAACACTACCCCATCTCTGCCTATAGAAATGAGGTGGCTGGGCAGAGACTTGAAGCTAACAGAAAGCTGAACATTGGGGTGACATAAACAGCATTTATTACAACATATTCCTTCTCATGTGGTACAAACTGCCCTGTTAGTCCTGCAGTTGAAAATAACCCTCCCTCCACCCGCATACAAACACTCCAAAACCAAATCCCAGACACTCCAGAAGTGAAGCTAATCTCAACAGCAACCGGAGTTGATATAAAAAAATAATTAAAAAAAAAATCTGTCTGTCTACAACAAAACACCAATACTTCCAGTTTTGTTTTTAGAAGGGTGAGCCTTCTGTCAGCAAATCCCCACTGCCATCAACTGATCCATGCCTTGGCTTAGCCAAGCACTCTGACACCTGCACTCACGGTTAAGGATGCGCTTGGCTGCGCTGTGCTATCAGAGCCATAGTTACAAGCAGAGAGTCAGGATCCAACAACTGTGCATGAGCTCTCAGTCTGTGTATTCAAAGACATCACAGCAGGCTGCTTTGGGAGGAAAAAAGCCTTCTTAGGCTACAGTAGGACCGGGGACAAATAGAAAAACATTCCAAGTATTTGAACAGAAATAGCTGAAAAATGATCAAAGCAGTTTTTTGTGCACTGCTAGAATCATCATTCCCCCCTTCCCCCGTTGTACATACAGGATAAAAACACTATAAATAGAGCAGCTCACTTTCCTATAGAGGATGAACACATAAATAACACATTTCGAAACAAAAAATCATAGTGCAAAAATAAATTATCAAACGGAAGTCGTGAACATTGTTATACACAATGCTATATAAAACCTGATCCATTTGGAAAAGACCACGCAGTTCATTGAAATAATGCATAAACATTATTAATTCTGCTTCACATTAAACTGCACAGTTCACCCTTTACCCACTACAAAAAAAAAAATAAATTAAAAAAACCTCTTAAGCTTTTTAAAAGGTTTATGGCAAACAAGATCACTTTTTGTTTTATCACATTTGTTATTAATTTAGCAGTGCAGTAATTGAATAATCATCTCAGAAATCGAGTTCCAAATGGAAACTAGTAAAGTAACCATAAACATCCCTTGCTCCTTTTAACTTATTTTCTCTGAAATTCAGGCTGGAAACATTCAGACACAAATCTGTAAGACATTACTGCAGTCAGATGAAGTTACAAGAGACACTCTACAGTCGAGCACTGCGGGAGACTTCACAGCTCTCCTCACCATCACCGCGATCTTGTACGAGACATGAATGTAAGGACACGTCTGATGCCATTCAAGCGGTCTTTGAGGGATTTCATGGCAAGGAAAGGGAGCTGGGCTCTGTTCTCAAGTGGAAGGACAGCTAGGACCCACCAGCACCAGGCTGGCCCGTTAGGGTTAGCCTGCAGTAAGGGGAAAGAAGCAGAAGTTGGAATACAAGTACATGGTTAGGGCTCAGCTTTGCAGGTTTGCTTTGAAAACACACCATCTTGATAGCAGACTAGCAAGGAGGGATCTTACTGCTAGCCAAATGGCTTGTGAGTACAGCTTGACCTGAAACAAAAACTGCAGCCAAGCTGTACTTTTTTTTCTTTTTTTTAAAGCAAAAAGTCTGTAGGTTGGCTTTCTACATTTTTTTCCCTAATTCATTATATGATTCAGTTGTTTGGGATACCTATGTCCCTTCTTCGTACTTCATACTTGTTTCATATTTAATTTCTGTTGTTACATTCTGTTCTTTCAGGACCCCTGCAATTTGCAGTCCTTGAGCCAGAGCAATGAGTTTCCTTCCCCATTTTCTCTTACTCATTTAATTGGGGAAGTAGAGTAGGCAAAAAGGCATTCACATCTCCCGGGATTCATTGTGTGGGTGAAGTACTCTCAGGAAGTTACCAACATTACGTATGAGCTTTCTGTTCACAATAGTGCTGCTACTGGTGCATGGCAACATAACCCAGATGCTCTGCTTACGCAGGGTAAGTGATGAACATTCTTATTTTTCCTCACTGAAGATGATGCTTCCCAGCTTATCAGCTATCCTTGCTACCCGTGTCTCTGAAGTTACATAAGCCACTGATTCTGGATACCTGTGGGTCAGGATCCTTAGCTGGCATTGGACCAAAGTGACTGAGAATTCTACTCTTCAGTGCTTGCTTGAGTGAATTAAACCACATATATGCCTGATCGTAGACAGAATCATGGAGAACAAGCAGTGCAGCGTAGTCTTGTCCTTGCACCTGAAATGAGATGGGGGGAGGTTACTGTTACTGTGATCTGCCTGCTGGGGAGGGCACAGTGTTCGTTTTCAGGGCTTCTTGGGGTGGGGAGGGACAAAGGAAACAAGCAAAAAGTACCAAGGGAGTTCTAAAACAAATCAGGAATGCTAGCTTTTCTTTTTCTTCCCTAAAAACAAACTCATTTATCCATTACTACCCTTTTTATCTCATGTTCCAAAGCAAAGGCACACATTTGCAGGACAAGCACCTCCGGAATGCTATGTGAAACATTTTTTTCATAAACATCACACAACACAGAACAAAAGATTATGAAAATAGCTGAAGTTCATTTAGCACCTTCTCTATTACAGAGCTATGACATCTCCCAGCTTTAACCACAAGTTAGGAAATACCACGGATTGGTTTACTAGAACCTGTTCCACAAAAAAGTTCACCAAATACATGGGCTCAGAATTTCAAACGTCACACAGCTTAAATATTTCTGCATTCACCTTTTGATCCTCGATGTACTCAATATCTGCTGTGTTGTAGCCATCACGCTGGCTGTGCTGTATCACCTTAAATCTCCTTTTGCCAATGCTGTCTACAACAGAGCGACCATCAGCAAAGAATTCAACATTTCTTATCTCCAGAATGCAGCCATAATCTGCAAACCTATTTAAATCAGAACAAAAGCAAGTAAACAACTCTTACTCTCTCCACCCTTAGTTCCAAAGAACTGCCATACAGCCACTGCCTACCACAAAGGTATTTACTGGTGTCAGCTCATTTCTATTGTTCATAGTACTGAGCTGCAGTAGCTCAAATTATTCAACGATTGTTTTTAAAACTTTCAGGAATATTCAGGCTGTCAGATCTGATTAACATTAACTACATGCTTTGGAGTACAGATCACTTCTTACGAAAGTTATACAGCTTGGAAACATACTTTGTCCATAACTCCAGCAAGTTCACACATTTTGTACAGAACAAGTGCAATTCACAATATTAGAACTACAGAAGGACTATAAATGTTATAAATAAAAAGCTTCCCCACATTCTCAACTGATGTTACTTCATAGGTAGGGATTTTGAGCATGTCATTCTTCTTTTTATGGCACATATACCTCGTGGGTACACTCACTAAAGATGTGAAGAAAGCTAAATGCGAACATTAAGGCCCTGGCTTTTAAGACTGCCTGTAAATGGCACGATGCAAATGCTCAGCTAACTCTTAGGAAGATACTGTTCTACCTCTGCAGCATCCAACATGCTCAGAGCAGTGAAGACAGAAGTGCATCCCAATAGTTTAACTATTTTCCAATTTTAAAAACACACACCACCATACTTTACTGCTGTTTGAACTTGATGGCTTGTGACAAAGCATTACAGAGATTTCAAGAGTGGAAAACACACTTCCTTTCCATGTATTTTAAGAGGTCTGAGGCTCAACTTTGTGCAAGAACCCACAAGCTCCATATGCTTCAAGAATAACAGGCAGCTGTATTAGGCAGAATCCAACTGCTCAGTGGAGTAACTCCAGCCTTCTCCATGTCTTTAACTGGTAGAGAAACTTCCTCTACTGGAGAGCTACGAGAGATGGCCACAGCACAAGCTCATCTGCACCTCTCTCCAAAAAGCCTTGCTCCAGATTAAGTGGGGTAGACCAGATGGTCCAAACGTGCTGCTCACTCACCCCTTCACAGGGTCACTAATGCACATCCCAAATTGCTTGGTGCCAGTCTCCATGCACCTTCGAATCATCAGGCGATAACAGGGCTCAAAGATGTGCAAAGGACATGGGACTGTAGGGTAAGCCATTGTGCAGACAAATATGGGAACATTCTTATTGAGGCTGTAAGAAAACACAAAAAACACAACCAGATGACATTTTACCAAAATACTGACAAGCTATAAACCACATGCATTTCATGCAAGAATGTTCTTTAGAATTTTCCCTACTCAGTAATTTCCAACCCCCAGCCAGTGAAACTGCTTTCACCCAGTGTCTTGCTCTGTGGCTTTCATGGAAGGCTACCAAGAGCAAACATTACATTTACAGCTTGTCTAAAAGCAACATCCCAGATTTCTTCTCCTGTTTGTTGCTTAACACAGTGTGCTCTGAGTAAGCATAAAAACCAGATGATTTCACCAGGACCCCATTCTCTTTAAATCACTGATATCAAAGATGAAGCTCTGGTGTCAGCATCTATTAAGTGGCAACCAGCCCACAGGGCTGGGATGGGATCTGGATCCTATCAGCTCCCTTCCAGCCCAAGCCATCCTGTGGTCTGAGCGCATCCTGCAGCAGCAGGAGCCATTTGTTAGCTAACAGCAATCGGATCAGAAGAGGACTTTAAGGAAATGGATTACATACTTGGAAAGCTCTGCTATTTCCTCTTCATAAATCTTTCTTCTTTCAGTGAGTTCCTCTGGAAGATATCTAGCTATTAACTCCTCCATTAGTACTGTTTTGCAGTATTTCCTCATAGCCAAGCACTGCAGAAGGAAGCAAACAAAAATCACAGGCAGTTACACATAGTGCCTAACATTTCAAAGTACACACACAGCACTCATCTGTTAGCTCCATTTTCTTATGCCTACAGCACAAACCTATTTTCTAAGCTTGCACCACCACTGAAGTTATTGAACTATTCCTGATGCTGGGGGCATTGTCTCAGATAACCTGTAGACAATCTGCCCTCTCTTCTCAGACGTCCCAAATACAGGAAAGGTCTGACCAGACGAGACCATCCAAGCTCTGTGAGTCACAGGAATCACAAAGACATTTGCAACCACCTTTTTCTTAACTTACACAAAGCTTAATTTGAGTTTGGAGGGTTTCTAAAGGTGCTGCTTGATCTTAATTCTGTGCCCTTGAATATATGCTGAGAACATCTGAGTTTCATTACCTCTGAGAGCCCTTCTTTGCACAGGGGACATTTGGGGTTGTGATCCAGGCATCTCTCAAGACATTTGAGACAGAAGGTGTGTCCACAAGGCGTGGTGACAGGTTCATAGAAGAGCCTGGATTGGGAAATCCAAAAACAAGACCACAACAATATCGTGTACCAAAGTAACAGAAAGAGACGTTACCAAAAAAAGCTGCATTTATCCACTAATTTAGCTACTGACTGCTCTACAGGTAAAGTTGTTCCTTGTTTTTCACTTCTTCATCCAACTCTTGTCTTTATTCAGCTTACACTGTTTGTTATTGCTGTCTAATGTGAAAGGCAGCCTCTGAGCTCAGATTGCAGTGCATGTGATGTGTGCAGCTTCAGGTCCAAGCTTCATTTTATTCAACACAAGTGATAAACAGAAAATGAAGCCTAATCATCCAACTTTTTCTAATGAAATTGAGCAACACTTACACAACCAGTAGTATGGAACTCATGTGGGTACTTGGATGTGCAGAGCAAAGCACAAAACAGTCATTTTGCAGCAACAGGCCAGACAAGTGACTACAAAAAAAATGGATTATTACCAACTCTAACCTGGACTGGGAAAGCAGTTCTGTTGGAATAGATTGTTTTTAACCTTCAACCTGCTTGTCTGGAAAAGCAATTATATTAAGTTCATGTTTCAGCTAGGAAAATATTTCAGTCCATAGGGCCAAGATTTCAAAATAGCTCAGGGTCTAACCTGCTCATCCCAGGTACCTCTGTGGCACTTATTTCTACATACAGATTTTTGGCTTATTACAATTATGTGGTATTGCAAAGTGAGGTTTCCTTGACAGTAAGTACGTCTGACAGATGTAAATTATTTAAGTTCTTTTTTTCTTTTTAAATACAAAACATTCCAAACTAGAAAGGAAACTCTGGCATATATTCCACAGCATACTGTCTAAGCACTTCAGGGTCTCAATTAGTAATTCTCCTAATTTATCAAGCTTATGAAAGCAGCAAACTAAGTTCCATTATACGCATGGATGTTATAAACCCATATTTATTAGTACCTTTAACAAGATGACTACTTGTACACTGGCTCCTTACAAAACTGCCACAGCCACCTTATTAAATGTCATTAGTAACTGCAAATATTGACATTTAAAACAACAGAACACAAAGAGGCATCCAAAAAGCCACACCTATTACTGCAATGGGACTGTATGGTTGAAAATCCTCGTTAGCTGCTTTACGAACAGAAACCTCACTGCACTATGCTATTGTTTGAACTACAGCAAATGTCAGACTGCATTGTTTCAGGGAGCACTGGTTTGTAAATGTTATTATTTGGTAGCTGTTAGTGGATCTGAAGACAAGAAATTCCAGTTGAGATGAGTGATCCTGCTCTGCCTCCACTGAAGCCACCAGCAGCTTTCTGCTAAGCAGCAGAAAATGAGCATCCGTTGCTGTGAGCACTGCTTCCTCCCTTCTCCCTGCACTGCTCCAAGCATTGCTTATTCTCTGCTTGCTGCTGGAGCTGCTGTGGATCGATAATGTTTGGGCCGCTTCGCCAGACAAGTAGGCTAATAGCAGCTCCCTGTGTGCAGGTCAGTGGGTTACTGGGTAATCAGTCCAAAGCGTCTCCGCATCCAAATCCCTAAAATACTCTTGAAGAACGTGGCAGGAAGTAATTATGACCTATCTGCATTAATAGCATGATGAAAGTCTAGTGACAGACTGTCCTCATTGTTACAGTGCTGCGAAGCTGCTGCCCTGCAGACGTCAGGTCCTGAGTGCACCCACAGCCACAGAGCCAGCAGTCCTCAAGCTCAACGCTTTCAGGAACGCATGCTAGTCTGCCTGTTTCTGATTTAACAGGGGATGAGGAAGTAGGGCTAATTAAATTCATTAAAAGCATCTGAAAAGCATTTTGTGGACATGATTCTAAACATGCAGTCATTAAAAGCAGCTCGGACCCATTGTGTGGCTTTCTGCAAGAAGGAAGTTCTGCTCTTAGCAGTACCAGTGTTTTGACAGCTGTGTACACTTCTGGAGCACGTTTCAGCTGCAGGCACACGGAGAGAGAGGGGGCACATCTGACTTACCCCAGGCAGAAGCAAGCCTTTGCAGATTTTTCCCTCAAAGATGTTAGTGTTTCAAATAAAAGCAGGCAACCCCCTTCACCAGCATACAGCAAAGCACAGCAGAAACATGTTTGCCCCGTCACAGCCCTTCAGAAAAAAATCCACAAAGCCACCTCCTATTCAAGTAATATGGTGCAAGATGAACCAAAACATATTGTACAGATAAAACTGAGCCAAACATGAGTGGCACAAAGCAGAAATCAAGACCCTTGTAAAACATCTTCTCTATTTTCTACAAGAAATTTGTAACAAAACCCCTTTTTTAACTTTTTTTTTTTAATATAAAACAGCCATCAGTAAAATAGATGACAACTCAAGAGTTTTGTTTTTAAATAAAGTCATTGCTGTCCTTAAGGCTAGATCTGTTATTTAACTGAAGGAAGAGATCGCAAGACTCAGTAACAAAGGAATTCAGCACATCTGTTGAGCAACACAGGAAAAACATGCTCCTAAGATCCACCTTGTTGTAACAGCAAGAACACTATTTTATATGCAGCTCATAATATTCATTAGCTATTTCATGCACTACAATATCATACACAGCTCTGTAAACTCCAAAGGAGAAACCTGTGGCTGTGTGCACTGCACCAGTGGTGGGTGCATGTAACTGATGGGAAGAGGAAATGTGACAGCTCCACTAACGTGCTCAGCTCTCACTGTGACCTCATGTCCTTCCCACTGCCAACCTGGGGCAGCCCAACCTTTCACCACGGTGCTGAGAACCAAAGGTTGAGAAATACATCAATGGAAAAATAATTCTAATAAAGACCAGTTTCAGGTTAGTGGGAAAACTACATACCAGCTGAGCTAGAAGTTACCTAGATTGTAAAAGAGGAGGGGTTTTCTACAAGCTCAAGACATCCATGAGAAAATAATGGATACCTCATGCACAGGGAGCAATCCAGATCTGATGGATCCACAGATTCAAATGGAGTATGTTGCCCAGTGCTACTTCCCTTGGTATCGACTGTATCTAGCAACAACAAGAAGAAAACACATTACCATATGACTGCACACTGCTGGGAAAGCACATCCAGCCTCTGCAACTACAACCAACTACTGATGTTTAAACTTTGACGTGCAAGCTGCTGAACCACTGAGCATCACTGCAGTATCTCCTACACACAGCATCACATCCAGCTCTGGCACAAGTAAGCCACCAGTCCTTAACTGCAGTGACACTACATTGACGTGCAGAGCACTGAATTTAGTGCTGCATTAACAGCACCAAAACACCCTGTGCCAGAAGTATGACAGGGGACAGGTTTTTCTGTCACACCACTGTAAATATATCCCACACTATGAAAAAAGGCTGCACACCAGGTGTTCATGCAAACAGAACTCATGCTTTTAAACTTTTTTTTTTTTTAAACTGATTCAGAAGGTGGCAAAAGCATGCATGGCATTAATGTTGCTCACAAAATCCAGCGCCCTGCCAACAAACAAGCAATCATCTCAGCTCCCCTAGCTGCCTTTTTAGACTAGCACTTCTACAAGAAGCGTTCCACATCGTGCCCTGATTAAACTAATGAGAAAATATAAAAAAAAAATGAAGTGCAATTTGGATCCTTCTAGGCTTTTATGCAAGCAAAGATTCCACTGATGGTACCTCAGTTCCACATACCTTTCTTCAGGAGCTTGCAGGGCACCTCTGCAGCCCTCGCCTCCTCCAAGCAGCCTTTCCTTTTCAGGAGGCCACGCTTCTCAGACACGAGGAAGGCAGGCTCTGGCACAGAGGTGGGCTTGTTCTCCTCCTCTGAGCAGTCCTTTCTACTCTCTGTGGTTTGCATGGACTTCCTTAAACTGCCAGAATTAGTTATGTTTGGTTCCTCTTGAACAGGAAAGCCCTTTTTCTGTTCCACATTTACCTGTTCAAAGAGAGAGCTGACATTAGAACATCCACCTTCATCCACAAGGTAAGGAAAAACACCCAAACCTGTCAAGCCCTTCATGCTGTGGCTCACCAGGAAGGACTCTGTAGCTCAAGAAGAACAGTTTGAGGATTGCTCTGTAGGGGCATGGCTTTAATGTCAGATGTATGCAGACAATACCCACCCCCCAGCACCACTCAGTACTTTCAGCCCTCGTGTGTGGCTTTACTGCTTGCTCTTGGAACTCAATTTAGGCAGAGAGCCATCTAAAACTCAGGTTTAATACGCCGCTGTCACTTAATCTATACCTTAATAATCTAATCTTACTAATATGTACTGTTTACACCATGAGGATAAGGTACCAACCATCAAAATGACCAGAACTACATGAGGAAGCAGTATCAACACCAAATTGACTGCAGGAAAGAAGAGGCACAGAGCTCCTTTCTATGTGATGAACTTCTTTCACAAAAGATCAAACAACCATTGCTGCTCCTGTTGCAGCACAGAGCCACGGGACATCACTGTCTGCCTGTCACATCCACATCACAGGTGAACCCAAAAGCAGATACTGCAGTAATGTTTAACACGTAGAAAGATGAGAGAGCTGTCCCTCAAATGACTGACATCATGACCGGGTCCTATGGGAGGATTTCCTTTCAGAACAGTCGTTCCAGAAGGCACTGCTTATCCTCAGCAAGGCTGAGCAAAAACCCACCACTTCCATTTCCTAGGATCAGTCAAGTTTTCCCCTACAGGTACGGTATAGGGCAGATCATATCCTCACAGTTCAGGTTTTAATGAAGTCCTTACCCAACCCCGCTAACTTAAACCTTTCCAGCAGTTCTCAGTACTCTGGCTGTGAGAACAAACTTGTAGAGCAGTGTAAAACACTGCTAGCCCACAATGATCTCTCAACATATAGAACCTGAACACAGGATGATTTTTTTCTGACATAGGGTCAGTTACAGCTAAAACCCCAAATTTGGGCACTGAGGCCTTGGAGGGCATCCCAACCCACGCGGCAGAGGCTCTGTTTTCCTGCCAGTTGCTTGGATGGGCTACAGACAGCTCAATGCCTGCATGCATTTGGTGGAGAAGTCAGCTCAAGAGGCTTCAGCAGATCTGCATTGCTTTCTGTAAGGCAGTACATCAGAGAAAACACACCATCCCATCTCCCAGAGATGAAAAGGAAAGGCTTCCCCACGTGAACACAGAACACACAGCAAAATGAAGAACCACACAGCAGACTCATTCATTACCTTGAGCAACCTCTGCAGGGCATGGCTGGTGCCTCCAGATCCCACTGAACTTAGGAGGTTCCCCTTTAATCTAGAGTGATGTGACAACAGCTGCAGGATATCGGGTAAGTGTTCCTGAGCATTTCCCGGGATGAGTGAAAACAAACTAAGTAGAAGCTGTGATATAAAACAGAATACTTCACTGCTTAGTTCTTTCCTCGCAACCTCCACACGACAAAGCAAGTAAGAGAGTGGCTGACAGAAATACCATTCATTTGAAAAAACAAAAACCCTTTTAAAGAGCCCTTCTGACAGGGATGAGAGAAAAATGGCAAAGTTGGTGCAGTGTGGGCCCCACAGACAGATTTTGGGAGCTGAGTAAGACCATGAATCACAGACCACCCTCCAGTTACATGCACACCCTTGTCCTGTGGCTCAGTGCTCATCAGAAGTCCCAACACCTTGTTTTTGTTTTTCAATTCTTTTTTCTGCACATCAGAAACTTTCAGCAGCTTTTATGGAGCACAGAAAGCACTCATCTCACAGGCTTCACCCACATGCACTTACGTGGTTCCAATACACTAAGTTGCAACTATTTCTAATTCATTTATATGAGAATACCAAAAAAAAAAAAACAAGGGCAGCAGAAAAATGCCATTCCTTCGTTTGCTATCAGAAAATGGGTGAACTTGCATGAGCAGCAGCTTGCTGCCACTTGCAGTCACATTTCCAGTGATCATAAAAGAAACAGACTACGGGAAATTCATTCAAGAAATGGATTTCAAAATAGTGCTGAAGTGATCCTGCCGCAGTCTAAGGAAGCTGCATGACAGCTCCGATCCCACACCATGGACAGGCAGCTAGCAAGGGCAGAACACCACAGCTGTACCCAAAGGATCTGGTAAAAAGCAGTATGTCATTGTTATGCAAACAGCCTTGGAAACAGCCCAGGAAGACATTGCATCATGGATGAACTCTGTGTCACACAAGTCATTCTGTCGGCCATAATCAGCCATGTTTTCCTCAGATCCCCACTGCTTGAAATTGGGCGTCTTAGAGCTGCTTGGGGTCTGAATTCAGAAATGTATCTGAACATATGCTCTTCCTGCTCTAGTGCACTGCAACTCTCCCAGCATGACTATGAAAACAAATTATGATACAATGACAGCAAAACTCTGCACAGAACACTGCGGGGAAAAAAAAGGTACTACCAAATCCCAAAACCAAAACATGACCAAAAAATAAATCAGGAACTAGAACCCTATGCAAAGTGAGATAAAAGACCTGATTGCACTACGGCCACCCAGGTTATAAACCCGGTTACTTTCATGAGCAGTGCTTCACTGCAGGAGTGCCACAGTGCTCTCAGAGCATTCCAAGTCACAGCACTCCAATCCCAAAGCCGGGTGCGGTGCTGTGAAGGAGTGTGCAGTGCAATGAAACCAGAACGACTCTGTTTTTATTACCTCGAGGTGTCACTGCTGTGGTGCAAAGCCTTTCGGCTGCAACAACAGAGATCAATTGTCAAAACCCCCATTCACAGTAATTGTGGTATTACTTAGGAGGTGGACAACACAGCACAGCACATTGTACAGAATCCCTTTAAGAACACACACAACAGCCTTGGCCGTGACTGAAAGAAAAAGACAGCTTGCTGATCTGCTTTGCTGGTTTTAGCATTAATTATTAGCAGCAACCCTTCTAAACTATTTTAAAGCAGCTCTTCGCTGAGTGCTTCACTCCCCACCTTTGTCATAGCACAGCCGTGGTGGAGGAAAGCAGCTACTCCCAGCAGAGCATGACAAGTGCTGCGTGTTGGCTCAGCATCCCAGCCCCATGCAACACACCATACCAGCTCCCTCTTGCTCACTGGCAAGGTGGTGCCAAGCCATGAAACATGAGAAGCTTGCCAACAGGGAATCACAGAGGTCTGTGGGTGGCGATTATTAGCAATTCACTTTTACTTCAAGTTTGCTGGCGCTAACACTGTTTCCACACAGCATCTATCTGCTTAGTGCCTGCACTCTTGCTACCTCCCTACCTTCAAAGAAGGGGCAGAGATCAGCCCAAAAGTGAGCAGCAGTCAGGACAACCCTCCCCCCATGACTCTCTGCAGTAATGAGGGGGGATGAAGGAGAAACACTCTTACCCTATGATAGGTCACTGAAAACAATGCAGTTTGGATGATTTGGGGACCATACCTTCTGAGCCTCAGACTTGGCCGTCTTGTTCCCCACGTCCAGAGCAAGGCAGAACAGAAACTCTCTTAAAGCTTCTTCTGTTTTCCCTAGATTAGCCAATGCCTGGCCTTTCCTTAAGTGACCCTGCAATGAAACACAGCCATCGTTACAGCCTTTGTTTCTTCTGTTGTGGGAACTTGCACTAAGAACAAGGTGAAGCGACAGATCCTCCAAAGAGAGTTGGGCAGGGAGAGCTCACTGACATGGCTCCTCAGCCCGTGACGCAAGCAGTGCCCAAGTTTCACAGCACAATGATGAGAGCCCGTACACCTGAGAGCCCTAGCAGTAGAGCTGAGATGTTCTCTGGGCAAAACAATTCCCATAGTGTCCCTGAGCCCAGCTGCTCTTGGACAAATCTGCTCCCTCCACACTAAGGTTCTAACAAGTGATTGCTTTCTTCTATCAAGACAGAAGCACAGCACTCAGTTTTTAGAGACAGTTCACAGGCTCGACATCCCGGTGGGTCACAGACAGCAACACCAACTCCTCCTGCAGGATGACTGCTCTTCCTTAACCCCACAGAGCCCCAAGACAAAATTGCTCAGTGCCTGTGAGCCACAGGAGCCTCCCCAGCTCTGAGCAAGGAACGGTTATCCACCCAGAGCAGCACCCAGGTCTGCAAGCACAGAGTGCTGGGGCTCAGGACTCACTTTAAGCCAGTAGGGTTGCAGCCTGCATGCTGCCTCGGCATCGTGCAGCGCATCCTCACAAGCTTTCAGAGTCGAGTTAATCTGGGACCGGTTGCTGTATAGCAAGTGGTCATTGGGAGCTGCAGGAAACAAAAGTTGGTCGATTAACCCAGTTTAGAAGCAGTTATGTAAGCTTTACTCCTTAGAATTTTATTTTTAAACACGCGTCGCGCCTCCCAAATTGCACCGAAACCCAAAATAAGCAGCCCTGAAATAACTCCGTAGTAAATGAAATACGGAAACCTCCTTTGTGCAACTCCAGCGAAACGGCGGCGGCGTATTACATAACTCCGGGCAAATTGCATAAACGGGCACCGGGCGGGGAGCGACCCGTGTGGGGAGACCGGGCGGGCGCCGGCAGCAAGCGGGGACGCCACGACGGCCGCGGATCGCAGCGACAAAAGCCTTCGCTAACCGGGTTTGCGCACATTCAGCAGCCGCACGAGGAGCAGCAGCACGGAGCAGCGAGACGGGGCTGCGCTCGAAGCTCCGCGCTGCGCTTCGGCCGCCCGCGCTCACTGCGGAGCAACACGCCGCGAGCCCTCCCGTCCCGTCCCTCCCCTCCGCTCCGCAGGCGGCCCGGTCCCTCTGAGGAGCGCGGCGCGGTGCCGGGGAGCCCCGGGGGCGGCGGCCCCGCTCCCGCCCCGCGGTTACACAACGGCGCCGGGGGGGCGGGGGGCGGCCGGGCCGCGGGCTGCCACCTTACGCAACCGCCGCTCTCCTGACCCAGTTCCGCTTCGGAGCTCCCCCCGCCGCCCGCCCCGGGACCCGGCTCCGGCCGCCCGGGGACGCGGGCGTTACCTAAGCTGAGCGCCTCGTCGTACTTCTGCAGGGCGGCGTGCAGCTTCTTCTCCCGGTACAGCAGGTTCCCCTCGTGGCGGAGCTGCGAGGCCCGCACCTGCCGCGGGAACCACTTGCCCAGCAGGTTACTGAGGATGACGTTGACCCGCGGCAGCCGCCCGCCGCCCTCCTGGCGGCACAGCACGCAACGCGCGGCTGCCGCACGGTCCTCCCTCTCCAGGCACTTTTTGCAGAAGGTGTGTCCGCAGGGCAACGACACGGGCTCGAAGAGGAACCCCTGGCACTTGCGGCAGCGGCAGCCGTCCCAGTCCCGGGGCTGCGGGGCGCCGCTCCCGGCCGGCAGCCCCTCCTTCAGCCGCACGCCCTGCGCCAGGCACTCCACCAGCTTCTCCAGCTGCTCGGCGCGCAGCTGCCGCTGCCGGGACGCCAGCTGGTACAGCGGCAGCGCCTCGTGCAGCCGCCCGCCGAAGGCCAGCGCGTCGGCCCGCCCGAGCAGCGCCCGCCACTCGGGGCCGCGGCCGCCGCTCGCCGCCTCCGAGTTCTGCGCCTGCAGCGGCTCCGGGCGGGAGCCCATGGCGGGCGGCGTCTCTCAGCACGAGCGGGAACGTGAGCCGGGCGGGCGGCCGGGGGCGCCGAGGCGCGTGGGCTGTGGCGCCGCAGGCGCGGCGCGGCCCCGCCGGCCCATGCTGCTGCCGCCCCGCGCCGGGAGCGCCCCGGCCCGCCGCTTATATAAAGGGGGGCACGTGACGCGGCGCGGCCGCGCTCATTGGGCGGCTCCCGCAGGTTGTTACAAAACCGCCTGGTTTTGTAACCGCTGCCGACGCCCCGGTCCGCCGAGAGGGGCGGCCCGCTTCACCCGCGGCCCGTCTGCACTGGAGGCAGCCGGCGCCGTCCTGCGGCGTGCGTCCCGTCTGCGCTGTGCCATTCTCGGGCGCCGCTCTGCGCCGCGCCCCGGATCCGCCCGCGCTCCGCAGGTGCCCCGCGGCGCTCCTGCAGCGCTCCTGCAGCCGCGGTTCGTCGCTGTCTTAACGACGCTGAAGCCTTCTCACTGTTGGCTCGTGGCGGCTTTCGGACGGCGGAGCGGGGAGTTCGGCGGGAAGGGGCCACGGCCGTGTGGCCGCGCTGCAGGGGTGCACCTGTCTGATCCCGCCTGCTGACATCCCTGTTCTGAGGCTTTCTGCACCTGCCAAAAACTTGGCTTCCCTCCCTAAGGCTTTCGGATATATACACCTATAGCTCTGTACACAAAGTTCCCAAGCGAGTCCTTTAAGTAAACGAATAAAAGGGTTTATTGAATAGCCGCTGGCGTTAGACATTCTTCCCGCTATTGGCTCTGTCTGGCCTATTGGCACAGCACAGCACAGCCCGGTACGGGCTGATTCCAGGAAAGGAGCGCTGAACGACTCGAAGTCCGAGTGGAGCGATGTGCAGAACCACGAGCAGGAGCCGGCACGCAGGGGCGGGCATTTTCCTGAGCGAGCCGATGCTAGCAGCGCACAGTCAGCTCGTCTTACAACTTCCATGCGAGAAAGCCTCCTGTTATGAAAGAACAACAGCCTTAACAAAAAGAAAAATGTTTTCTCGAAGTCGACAGTTGTCTCTGTTGCAAAACGACCGTCTCGGCAGCCTTTCTGTGTGTTATTTTATAACCATTGTCCTGAAAACCACTATGAGTCAAAGCCTATTCAAGCGAGGGAAAGTGACATAACCGCTGGTTACCAGTAGCGATGCGATGACAATCCCTCTATCGGGGTTACGCCAGCAGTATTTGCACAGTTACATAGCAGTTAAAGAGATAAGAGCCGTGGTAGAAGGGGAGGTTTGCTAACAGCGCATGAATTCAGGATAGGGAATGGAAATAGATTATCATAGAAAATGTAATCAGATTTGTGTTCTGAAAGGAAGTTCCACAGCTTCTGTTTACAGCACATGAGAAGACAGGCAGGGCAGACTGCACAGCACAGGACGGTCTCAGAGGAAAGGGCAGCAGTGGTGCCTGCAAACTGCTAGTGGTGGGAGCTGTCTGCTTCTGGAGGGGCATAGAGCCACAGCTCTTTATCCAAAGCCCAAGATCTCGTGGATGGCCTGTGGGCAACAGGACTTCTCAGGAGAAACCAGCAAGCTCTGCCTCTGCTAGCTCCTGATGCGTGTTGTTTGGTGAATGTGTGCATTGCGTGGGGCATGCCAGGTGCAGAGTGAACATCACAGCCACTAACTCAACAGCACTTTAAAGCCAAGGCGCTGCTCTACTTCTCAGCTGCACACCACTGTAGAACACCTTGCTCCAACAGCCAGCTCAGCTCCACAGATGCTGCCCTAGTGAAGACAGCTGCATATGCTGCTTTCGTTTTGTTGTATGTCATATTCTGAAAGCATGGAGTTTTCCTATACTCACATACATAGATATCTGTGGATTTGGAACAGCAGTGGGGCTGCAAACCCCTACCTACCTGCATTGCTTGGGAGATTGGGAGCTGATTAATCTTTCACTTAAACAGAAATTACAGCTAGGAGGTGACTCACTTCGCAGAAGCACATCTCCTTTCTATGATTTTTCTACAAAGGGAGGTTTAATTTCTTCCTTTTAATGACAATGAGCACAATACTGGTTTTCTTCCAGCAGTTAATGGCTGGCAGAACAGTGTAAGAGCACGACTGCATTCTTCAGCCCTCTTCTGGAGCTATAATCTGCATCACACTCTGAGACCACAAAGCCAGCAAGTAATCCTGTTCCTTTCCCTTCCCACACACAACTACCCTAAATGTGACATTCTGACCCACCATCCTTCCTGACAGAGCTCCTTCTCTGCTGGCAGCAGGGATGTTAAAAGCCATGTAACAAATAAAGGTGTTTTATACACAAGTGCTCTCACACTCTGCAGTAGTCCATAGGTGAGAACAGTTTTGGACTGGTGGCTGAGCCAGTTGAAAAGAGGAGGCCTAACATTCCCTATGCAATAAAGCTGTAAAGGGGGAATTTACTATGGTCCACTTGCCATGGTTAGAAAAATCACTAGAATTAAGATATTAAATACATCCACCAGTTTAAAGAAATGGATGGCACCAGCAAATAAAAGGACAAACAGAACAACCCACCAACCCCAGGGGTTTATTTTATTCAGGGAAAACTACGGATATGAGCCAGGAAAGGTCCTTGTCACCTCTCGATCAAGCGATCAGCTTGACAAGACCTTGGGATGCACATAACAAGTATCCCATTCAAACTGGATCTTTCCCTGTGTGATAAAGAACGAGGGATTCACACCGTGTCCCTGGAGTGTAACCAAACATAAAACGAGCTGGGTGAAATCAGTTCTGCTCAGACATGCCCAGACTTTTAGAAGATTATTTTTATTCTGTAATGAAATGACAATGCTCCCATGTGAAGTTCAGTGGAATTCAATTTCCAGAGCATTTTTATACCAAATTAAAATGTTTCAATGCTGAACAAATACTTCACCAATTGGAAGGCTTATTTTATCAAAAGTGAGGGACTATCTGCCAGCCATTCTCACTAGCCATTTTGGTGAAAAGATCATCTGTCAAAAGCAACGCTCGAATTAGCTCCTTTTGTACATAAGAAAAGCCCAAATGTTTAAGTACCTGTCAGTGTGCACAGTAAACGACCAGTAACAGCAAACTCCTGCATAATGTGCAGCAAGACAAAGGAGACTGTAAGGTCCATCATCCCTTCCAGAGAAAGTGAGCATGCAGCCAGGAAGCAGGTCCATTTCTGGTGCACACATATCACTGCTGTCACAGGAGAACCACCAAACAAATATATTGTATCTAGAACGTGAAAGTACGTATTGATTCTTCTGTGCTGCCCAATAAAAATGTACTGTGCAGATGTCTTGAGCAGTAGGATGCATTGTACGCTCACACAGTGTTCCATTTGTCTTGAAAGACTTCACTGACAGCCTCAGTGGAGGTACATTCTCCAGCTCAAAAACACATAAATGTAATCATTTAAAAGGGCAAAGTTACAAGAAAATGTTTTGTTTCACACTTTGTGATAATGTGATCCCAGTAAAAAGTAGAACAAACTTCCAAAAGCAAAACCAAAAAGCAAACACCACATTAATGCAATCTGCAGTCCTCTTGAAGTTGTAGGGGCTAATTTGTTTTTATTTGCTTTGGTGTGAGCTACACAGAGCAGTTAAGGTACGTTGGTATGCACTGCCATCAGAGAAGACTCAACTTAAAAAGCAGGACAATAATATCTTGTGGCTGTTGTGGTTTGTAAAATCCAAGAGCCAAGTTTCCTACAAAAACACACATGGAAGTGTGAAAGTCCTCCTGAATCCATGATGTCATATTCAGTAGCTTTTTTTTCTTTTCTTTTCCTCCAGGAATGAGAGCAATAAAAGCAAGTTCTACACAAGACGAACAAGAGAAGTATGGGTGGCACTACTACTGCCTCAGCAAGCAGCTAGAAAATCCAATGCTTGACAATGGCAGTGGTATATGTGTTCTCAACTACCTGCGACAGGTGGGGAAACCCTGTGCCAAGGCCCATGAGCTGTGCTGTTTAGCTGTTCAATCTCCATGTCCTTACTCTTGGGGGAAAACTCTTCCAGGCACAGACTCAGGAATGCATCCCTTCTTAGCAACGCCCTTAGGGACATATTTGTGGTCCCATTGAGTTTAAATGAGACTTAAAACATAAGCTTCCAGTTAGGGGAGTTCTTTCAAGCTTTACAAATGGAGCAATGGAGCCTTCAGCCCATTCTGGACTATTTTATTGACCTGGGTATTGTTTGGATATGCTTTCACCTCTGACTTTCATCCCAGGGACTGCATACAGCCTCCTCATCCTGGGGTCTGGCTTGTGCTGCTAAGAAGTATATTAGCTGTAGTGATCTACAAGGCTCCTGTCTTCTGCTGCTGGATATCATCACCGTGCCAGAGGTTTCTGCCCTGTAATAAGGCTCAGACAATTCAGTCTCAGACAATTCAGCTGACAAACATGGGAAATACGTGAAACAAAGCAGGCATTCCCACTTAGAAATCTACAAGATTAGTCCTGTTTAGTGCATAGTGATCATCCAGGTAAAGACTCAGATTACACATTTCCTCTTTTGCAATACCGCTCAATTAGCTCAATCCATACTTCTTTCTCAGACTCCCACTTTTCTTCAAAATTAGTTTTTAAATATATGTACCTACACTTGAGTCACTTATCAAGAAGTCAGACAGCAATTTTACTTACGCCAAACTCAAATGCAAATTCACATTTGTCATACTACAACACAACAGTAGTTGTATGTTTTATTTGACACGTTGCAGGGCTTTCTTCTGATACACACTGATGGTGCTTCCGGTAGCAGGCTTTCAAAAATAATTAGAGTGATGAATCATAATTGGGAAGAAATGGTTCTTACATTTAAGACAGTTATTTAAAAAATGTTTTGATGAATCATGCAAAAAATTCTTGCAAATAGGATTATGCTTTTTTATCAATATATTTTTTTGTTTTTTTTTCTAAGTCTTAAGAAAAAAGCTTGTGCTTTTAATACTTGAATTGAAAAAATATTTACAGCAGACATAATAAATGCTACATGGCAGTTACAAGACAGGCAAAGTGGTGATGGTCCCACGCTTTACCCTTCACCAAATTCACTGAAGGTTTCACATCTGTTCTGCTAACATCCCAGCTCAGAAGTGTTCAGTCCTGGATTTTCAGTATGCTTCTTTTCTCCAAATCATTCATTTCCTTCAGGATAAGGGCTACGTTGTATCTCAGCTCCTGAAACTTTGCAACCGGTACCTGAAACACAAGGTTCAGTTTAACAAGCATGATACACCTTAGAAACTTCGGGCAGGGCACGCCTATGGAGTGTCAGTCCAATCTCTCTTTAATATAAACAAATTAATTAAATAAACAAATATATATTAGAGTTAAGACAAAGTGTTGTAGGTTAATAAATCTCACCGAGGCTGTTTGTCTTTGTAATGTATGAATGAAAGGGAAGCTTCTGCTGCCAAAAACCAGCAGGTATCTCTTGTACATACCAGGAGCTGGATCTCAATAACACTAAGCTCCTGCAGAGTCCCAAGGCTCCACACAAAAATGTTAAGTCTAAGAAGGTATTGTGAAACATGAAACTAGGTGCTCTTCTCTGTTACTGAAAGAATGAGGGTTTTTTTCTGATATTTCTATATGTTCTAGAACACTCAAATAAACATCCAGCCAGATCTACAAGCTAGTCTACAGTTCCCAAAGCAATTCTTTCCCACTGTTTATTTTCCATTAAGAAAAAGAAGGGGGGTTCAGTAGATTCAGCCAGGGTTTGTGATGTGTGGACCTTTTAATTTGGACCCAGTTCTGTTACTAACTTCTGTCAAACCATCAGCTGCCTTTGTCTTTAAAGCACCTGAATGCTACAGCTAAAGACAGGCCACACAAGAGGTTGTTATTTTTGCTTTGACATGAGAGGACAGAAATCAACCTGGAAAGCAGCCACAAGACATTCTCATTTTAAACAAGAAGAGAAAACAGATGTAATCACAACACTAGAAAAAAATTATGGCAACTTAAGGATGGCCAAAATTAGCTAAAGCCAACGACAGAAGAGCTCCTGCTAGCTGACTAGAAATCACAATTTAATTAACAGAAATTGCAGTGGTGACTTCAAGATAGTGCAAGTCTCCACAAAGGAAACTTCCAGTTCTCAGTCATACAGTGCTTGTAACCAAGATGGGAATATCAGACAGACAAATGTATCCAGACATCACAAGCACCAGATGAAGGTCTGAGCAAGCAGTCTGAGCCGGACTGGTGCAGTAAAAGTGCACAGAAAACCAAGTCCTGAAAGCACTGGCTTAGCTAGCTCAGGACTGCCCTAACTCTCCACTACTATTTAACCCAGATGGGAACGTCAGACCATCTACTTTTTCTAGGCTAAAGAAATGTGCAATGAAACAACTGCTGCCATCAAATCCCTCTTACAATGTGAGGTCAAAATTTTCAAATCAGCAAATCCAAAATATCTAACCTATATAAACACGTGATACCCTGCCACATTCTCTGCAAAGTTATATTTATAGCATGGTCAGAACCATAAAAATTCTGATTATTTGGGTGAATCCCCTTTTGAAATGCTGTAAGAAGTAAGGGAGACAATGCTCTGGGTATAAAAATCCAGTCCCAGATTGTATACTAGTCACTTTTTCAGATTTGTTACATCTCAAAATCGAGCTTCCCTGTTACCCTGGGGTGCCACACTGCTGAGGTTTTGTGGATGCTAACTAGAAGAGATTAGATTCAATTTTTGAAGAAGTGTATAAACATGACATATAAAGACACTTACATGTCTCAGATATGAATTCTTTGAGCCAGCACACTCCTGTAGGCCTCAATGTATATTCCATTTGCAAATGGTGCACCCAAAGCAAGAGGCTTTCAGTTTAGAAAACCTATTTAATTAACTTACTTAAAAACTGTTGAATTCAACTAAACACTTGTGTCAGGTGATACATACATGTCAGTGGAGACAAGCATAAAGAATTAAATTGCCGTTTAGAAGAGAATATTACCACAAAAAACTATTTAACTAATGAACACAGCAGCTTTCCATTCAAACTGAATACAACATGTTTCCCTATCTCACCACCTATCCTGGTTAAAACCTGGTTTTACAAGGGATTAATGGTGAGTAACTTATGGCTTATGGCACTGTGCACTGACTTATGGCTGTGTGCACTGACTGTAGGTTCACAGTTAGTTTCATAAATTAGACTATCGATTAAGAAGCTAACAAGATAATATCTTCAAAGAGATGACAGCCTGAGAGAGCAAAAAACAATGTGCTGCAATTCAGCATTGCAAATGCTACAAAAGTAACTGGACGAACTGATAGCAGGCATTTGTTTAAGCACAAGCTTCAGAGCTAAGGAGATCAGCTTTTCAAAGGCTAAGAGGTCAAATCAGGTTATGGAAGTATAATGCCTGCTCCCTGTGGATCATGCAAATATGGCACCCATGAGATATGATTTGACGTGGATGAGACTCAATGCGAGGGTCGAGAAGAGGAGAGAAAACTCACAGATATTCCTGTACCATTTCAAGCTTGAGAAGCCAAATGGAAGGAAGTACATTGAGCACTGTTAAGGCCCTTCAGAGAACACATCTGAGCAATGGCTTAGATGGAGGGGCAGAGGTTCACAGCAGCGCAGTGCACAAATGCCTGTGTCTGCATTGGCCCAGACCGCTCTGCAGAGCACTGGCTAATTTACTCTGCTTCTTTGTCTACATTGAAGTCGCACAGTTCTTTGTCAGAGTCCCTTAGCACGCTGCCACTGCAGCTGATATCAATCATATGAGAGGAATCCAGCACCTGATTTGCAATTTCCAGATGCAGGGGAAGACGTATGAGGAACGGATGAGACCCCTGGTTCTGCTGGGCCCAAAGCAGAGGGGGTCGTGGGGAGGCTTCGTGGCAGCCACAGCTCCTTACAGGGAATGGAGGGCAGCGCTGAGCTTTCTCTCTGGGGCCAGCCACAGTCATACCACAAAACTCAAAATGCTTCAGTTTATTATTTCCTTTCTGAAAAACATTCATTGTCAGAAAACTCACTGTGCTTAGAATAAGAAAACAAAACCTAGGAGACCAAACAGGACAACTTGTTTCTGTGACATACACTTTAAAAACCGTTCATAATGGGATTATCTTCTGTTTTATCATTTTACATAATCCCTGTAGGTTAACAGGACATCCAGTACTTGTTGGAATATGAAAGAAAACTGAAGAGACGAGGACTATGTTTACCTGCATTTGGTTTTGGATCAAAGAGCTACTATCTGCAGGAAGATCACTCATCATTAAAAAATCCTGTTTACAGCCAGATCTTTGGTATTCAGATCTTGGCAGCAAAAAGCTGACTTGAAAAGCGAGGCATTCAATTTGCTATCAGATATCTGCACTTCTGCATGCAGCAGCCAGGCACAGCAACTTATCTCCACAGCAGACTGGAAGCAAAGCCCCAAATCATAACAGTTAAGAGCATGTGCTAACTTCTATCAAGTGAAACTCATCATGCTGAGAAGAGTCAGCCTGAAGACCAAGGTATCACTTAAGTTCCATGAAGATCTCAGAGAGTGCTAACAGGCTGCTATGAGGACTTCCCACGTTGGGCTGAATCTGATCTTCTGTGAACTGAAACCCCCAACACCTGGCAATGCAGCACAGAGTTTATACCTTCCTCAACAGCTGTACTGTGAAACATTACACTCAAGTCAGCCCAACTCTCTGAGCCTAGAGTGCTTTGGTGCTTCTTCCAGACTACTACTAATATGTGTACTGAAGCCAAAATCTTTTAGGAGTTCAAATGTGACAACAACTGTTCAGTTATGCACTGAACTCCTGTACGCGCTACCATGTTATTTATAGAACAAATAGCATTCCTTTTCAAAGGTTAAAATATGAAAGAATGTATGCTTTTTTTTTTTTTTTGCAAGCCATTACAAACAGTATCAGAAATACTGCTGACTGATCCTGAGGTAAAGAAACAAATAAGCTTTTTACTTTCCTTCTAGCAGCGAGATCTGTGCTAAAGAAAACAAAACTATCTCTGCCACAGAAAAGAATGTTTTACCAGGCAGGAAGTCTAGTAGTGCATCATATCTTATATATACTACCCTAGTAATTTTCCTTCTCTAAAAAGCCATCATGAAGTCTGGAGGTAAGAGCTGACATCAAAACTATCATTTTAAAACAAACTAGGTGTTATGCAACAGTACTTTCCAGTAACTAATATAACTAATATTCGTATAACAAACGAGCTCTCAGCCAAATGTGCATAGGAATGAGGTATGGAATGATTTTGGTTGGCAGTCAGTTATATATTGCATGTGGTTGCAGCAGACGGGAGGAACACAAACCAATAATGCACTGTTTACAAAAGCTTTAATGTTTTAAATAGTAGTTCAACTTCCTGAAAAGAACTGTAAGTGCTTTCTTATTTGTTATGGCAATCAGACTTACTTCAAAGCGATGAGCTGTCCCATCTGAAAGCTTCATCAGCATTAAAATGGATGGTTGAAGAGCACGGGCCAGTGAACTGAAATTATTTACAATATTAGTATTACAACAATAAACATCAGCAGTGTGACAGGTACACCACTGTACACTGTACAACTTCAAATGTTCCTACTGGTTTTACCTGAGTAATTTTTATTTCAGAGCCACGAAGATGGGAGCCCTGTCAAACTTACCTCACAATTTAGACTAAAAAGTTTGAATATCTCAATAACAGCAAGAAAATGCTAACCAGAGGATTTTCATTTTACACCAGCTATGACAGGCGTAAGAGCTGACCAAGTCTGGCTAGCAATAATGCACATTTTTTTTTAGTGCAGTTGCCTATGTTGTACTAACTCTTTCCATCCCTTCATTCTTTCAACTGCCATCTCATCTGAGGAACCAAGCTCTCCCAGTCTTCGTACTAAATTAGCAAATTTGGGTTGCTATTTATTTTACATGATGACCCAAAGAGGGGAAATGAGCCATCATTGTGCAGCATTCATCAGCAGATGCTGCCAAAACCTGCTCAGGTACTGACAGGTGTTCCAGCCAGAAGCCATGCCTCTCCACAGAGGCTGCTGCTGAATGATAAACAAGGATTCCCATGGGGAGGATGACTGTAAAGGAAAATAAGAAGGCAAACAGAAAAGGGTAACACATTGCTCCTATGTTGTTAGGAAAGCAATCATAGGATTTACCCAAAGCTTGCAAGAGTTGTGCTTGAGGATGTTTATCTGTACATTTTGTTCTTTTATAAGCATAGATTCTTCTGCATCATGATACCTGTGTGGTGCTTTCAGCACTGCTCGTCTGAGAGTCACTTGAACTTGTAGCTTGTGGCCATCACAGTTTTCACTTAGGAGACCTTTTTCTCGTTTTTAGAAAGATTCCCCCCAGTCACTTATTGCTCTCTCAACTATGTCAGCAGTGGGACTGAGCCCTCTCTCAGATCCTGCAATGCAGGAACACAACACGAAGTCACTCGTGCTAACAATTTCAGCTACTGACAAAGATTGGATCATCCTCTAATTTCTTTCATCTGAAACAAAAATCAGGACAAAATCACAAAAGGTTTCTACTTCCTGTCTAGCCAAAGATCCATCCCATAACTGCCTCTGCTGTGGCAGACAGCAAGAAGTCATTCACTGCAAACATAGACAAGATGCTCACACAGAGGCTTTTATTCCTGTTTTGTGAAAGAAATTAGGAGGCAGTTCAATGACCATTGCATAATTATGGCAGTGTGAAGGTGCCCTTCTGAAGCCTTTCTTCCAAATCTACAGCCGTAGATATGTAAATAGGGTATGAAATTTTATTTAACACACACTAAACATAAATGATAGCCTACTTGAGAAACTGAATAGACAATTTCCCTCCCCTTCTCTTGGCTGGCTGCTTGTGGCTCAATCCATCTAATTTCTTCCAGCATTAGGGAGGACTGTGAAGTTGCATCGGATCTATCAGGTTTTAAAATAATGAGAGACCAAAACTTGGAGTTAAATGATTCTAGCGCAAGGGTTTTAGACAGTAAACAAATAAGAAGCATAAAAAAAAAATATCACTAGCAGAAGATGAAGACAGCAGCCTGTTGGTAAGTGCACATAACCTTCTGCATATCATCTGACATACAGTGTTAAAAGAAATCCCTCTTATCTTACCATTTAACGCAGTAAGATACACTTCAACACTTAATATTTTAGGCAGCATAGGAAGTCAGTTTAACCTGGGACAAAATCTCTGCTGTGGTCATGCAGAATTCTCTTTTTTACCTTGTGGATATAGCCACATCCACTCTCCACTTGAAGTCCTGGACATTTGGCAGCCTACTTGCTTGTGCCAGAGCTGTGCCTTCAGAAACAGGACGCCTGTAGAGCAAATCAGAAACAAGAGGCTGAAATGCAAATTCACAAAAGCAACAACAATCTAAAGGGAGAATAAGATTCCTCAAAACAAATCTGTCTGGAACTTGTTTCTTGTTGTAAATCTATCATCACTTAGAGAGATTTCATGGAATGGTTGAGATTGGAAGGCTATGTGGTCCACCCCCTGCTCAAGCAGGACTACCCAGAGCAGGTTGCCCAGGAACACGTCCAGGTGTGTTCTGAACACCTCCAAGGAGGGAGACTCCACAACCTCTCTGGGCAGCCTGTGCCAGAGCTCAGTCACACACACAGATGACCCAACGGGTCTGACTGAGTTGAAGGTATAAGATGGCTGTATTCAAATTACCCATTTTTCTTATGTTTAACTGCTATGGCAGCTGTCAAAACAAGAGAGACAAAGCTCGTCTGTGTAATTCCAGTAAACTCAGGTCATTATAGATTTTAGCCGTTGTGGTGGCTGGCCTATCTATTATTTCGATTCTCAAGCAACTGTAAGGCACTGAGAAAGGGACCTACAGACACATCTTCACACAAATACAGCAGGAACAAGCAAGCAGGAACAGAAGACAGATGACTCAAGCCACAAAGCTGAACTAAGCTCATTGTGCTCCTTCAACAGAAAGCACCTAGTATTAGCTCACAGCAGTGCTCTAAATGTAATGATATTAGAGTTTACTCTGAAGCACATTTTAAAATAAAATCCCACAGTGGCTCTTGCTAATCCAGCATACTTTATAAATTCCTTATGTAATATACGTGTCAACCCCAGCACAACCTTCATGACTTCTGTCTAGACGACTGTTTGAGAAGGCCCATACTTCTTTTATTACTTGTATTACAGGCAGAATCAGGCTCATCAAGCCTAAGTTGCATTCTGTGAGCAAATATAGTCAACTTATATTAAACTTCAGGTGGTTGACAGTCTTTAAAATTTTAATAGCATCTTAAACTCGAGGTAAATTAACAAGCCAAATCTAATACCAAGACATAACAACCACCCATTTTTTGATATACAAAGAGAATACCTTCAGAATGAGATCATTCAGCTGGTCCATTAGGAGGACAGACTGGACTTAAGTGTTACTTACATTATAATTATTTTTTTGCTAAGTATCCCATGTCTCTGGTAGTTATTTACGGTACATTTCAAAGCTACTCCAGCTAAGGGCAGGATAAGAAACACTACATCCTTTATCCATGGTGCTAGACATAATCTAATTACAGAGTTTACCTCAGAAAAGAATCCTCTCTGAACAAATCAGAGACCATAGGAACTCGGATTCTTTAGTGAGAAGTGAGCTGGTCCTTTTAGAAACTGCTGAGAAAGATTAAAGATTTGATAAGGTACCAAATACTGATAGCTAGGATCTCCAATACTCTCGCATTTAGCGAAAGTAATATAAGAAAGAATGTATTCCTTTTTGGGGGGCAGTGCTGGTCAGAAGTGACATACATCCCAATGGTACAACAAAGTAATGAGCGGAGAAAATAGATCAGCTGGTTCCTACACAGGGTACAGTACTGAATAGGAAGTAGGTCACACAGCTGGGTGCAACCATAAGGAGTCACAGACTGCAATGGACATTAGCAGGATTAAAGAATAAGAACAGGCCTTTCGCTCAGAGTTGCTGCCAGAGCATTGCTTAATTTGGGAAATGCCTAAAAACAGCCACACTGCTGCTGCATCCTTAAGACACGCTAACTCCCTTCAGTGGAGGACAATCCATTCAGCGTAGCAGCAGCACTGGGCACAGAATGAACAGAGATAACAGGAAGATGTTACAGTTAGCAGTGATGGGAAAGGTCAGCAGTGTCCAGAGGCTGTTAAGTTATAGCATTCCTGTGCCAAAATGGACTGCACCTCAACACCAGCTCCTCGGAGTCACAGTTTTTATACCTCAGGTTCGGCTTCTGTCAGCACTTTCTCAGGGTGCAGAAGATTACAACTGCAAGAATCCTGTAAGGCTGACAGTGTGCATAATGGCCAACATACACACAGATATTACAAAAACCCTTAATCAAACCATCAGCTTCCAAGAGGAATAGCAGAACGGAGCAGAAAAAGACTCAACGAACCTTGAATCCACAACCTATGCAATTTAACTACATTTCATAAACTCTCCGCGCCAACAGCTGCAATACACTGTCACCTCACGTACAGTGCCTAAGGCAGAGGTTAGAATGAGTAAAGCAATATGGATCAGTGACAGAACATCCAAAATGGTATGCCTGCTGACAAGAACATCACCTGCCAAAGGATGCAACAAAGAACTGAAGATGGAAGAGTTGCGAATTTGGAGCAGTGACTGACATACCAGCATCAAAACTGGAGACAAATTTGGAATGGGTTGTGATGCACATAATCATTATAGGCCAGCAGGCCACTGAACAGAGAAAATGTATAAATTAGTAGGTCAAATGGCAGATGGAACGCTCACTCTTGGAAGAAGCTAAAGCTATGCTATCTAAAAAAACATGCAGTACATTTACTATAAACATTCAAAGTGGGGGAAGTTATGGCTATGCTGTCTCTTAAAAAAAAGTTTTAATTTCATATGCTCATTTTATGGTGTGAATATGCCAAGTTTTATTTCCCTTTCAGTCTATATAGTTTGATGGAACTATGGAGAAACAGAAATAAGAATGCTCAATTTTCAGCACTTCAGAGTTGGTGTTTAATGAACAAAATGTCAAAAATAGAATATGATGCCAGAAAAAGTATTAAAAACTCTGAAATTGGTTTTTCTGGGTTATCCAGCTCATAGTGGATTTTTTATCAGATGCCATTGCTTAATACTTCTCTTATCATCACAGTCACATATATTTACAATTCAATAAGCATATGCATGATTCACTACTACACTTAAAACTATAAAAGCAGATCTGTCTAGAAATCAAATCTGAGGTGCTTTTCTCTGATCTCAAAACACAGAGCAAGATTACTCTGGATAATCACAGCTTCTGAAATGAGAAAAAGCCATATTTTCCAGCATCGTGATTTCACAGTAGAAAACAGACAATCATGCATGCTTCAAATGACATCTATATTTAACTTCATTCTCCACTGCAAACAATATTTCCATTTTGAAACCATGAATTTTGCATTCTTTCACACCTATAATTCAAATAGAATAACAAAGAAAACACGAGAAGGCTGAATTTATTTTTTATCCCAAGAGGGATTCATTTTAAAGTAAGATTTTAATCAAGGAAATTAAAAATATTTTAAATGCTGGTAACAGCATTCAGACCCTTTTGAGAGAAAGTGAGACACCACAATGATGATTGTCAGCATATCTGAAACAGCTCTGTGTTGGTGATGCCACGTTCTGAGTGACCTCACGTCTCAAGGAGGAAAGCTCTACATATGCAAGAAGTTCAAGCAATTTCAACATACAGAGGAACATAAATATAATTGAGTAGAGAAAATAATTGAGTAGAAAAGAGTAGGAAAAAAAGGAAATCCCTCTAAGGAAAAGCAGAGAGCCTTTCCAAGAAGTTTCTGACTGGTCACAGTCTGAAGGTAAGGAGGTATATTGCTTGGTGAGTAACAGCTAGCAGAGCAGATGATATCTCATATATATCATCAAGTCACTCAGTCTGAATTCAGCTGTACAGTAAGACATGATAAATGCTGTCTGAGAAAGTTTCTACAAATCACAGCATGTAGAAGGACGCTCGTTGCTTGTTTCTCAACAAAGCAAGCCTTTCACTTTTGCTCTAACTTGCAATGATGATGATAAGAACACTTAATTCTGCAATTTACTCTTCATCTGTAGGTAATGATTCATTATACAGAGGATATAGAACATTATAAAAACTGGTGATGATCATAGAAAAAAAAGGAAAAATGACATGAAAGCTACTTACTGCACACATAGCCATGAATTATAGATATTTATACTGAATCCAAATAATGGGACAAATCTTCCTCTCGTGTGTTTAGAGAATTTTGCTGTTTCTTCAAGAGGCCTGCAATATGTGTACCTGCAGGGCTGCACAGTGCATAATACACAAAAACACTGACCTGTTACCAAAGACAATACTGGAAAAGTCTGTGATGAAATCTTCTGGTATCCTTAAAGAAAAGAGCAACAGAAAATAGATAAGTGTTTTGTAACCACAAATATATGGGCTTAGCTGCAAAAACCTATTGCAGAACACAAAAATAGTATCAACATTTTCCATTTTGCATTGCTTAAAATTGCCATCATCTCTTATGTAAGCACTTCAGTATTGACTCAGTCTATGCTCTCAGGAGGACAGGCTGTTTTCACAAGAACCCTAAAAGCTGTGCTACAACCTCCTGTGCTACCTAAAATGGCAACAGGGAGTTTCAGAAGAACCCTGTATTTGACTAATTTCTCTTAATAAAGAAGTTTTACTGATGTCTCTAACAAGCACAGAAGGCAGATGGACAACACATGCTTATAAACATCCCAAGCCTATACATTTCATTTCACTTTCACCTTAAAAGAGCAATGAAAAGAAGACAGAATGACTTGCTCCCTTAACAGTAAGAACAGAAGCCCTTGTAGCTGAGAGTACTTACAAAGAGGAACCATATCCTTTTGTGGGGAGGGCAAGGATAAATTTGATGAGCCCATTAAAACAAGCTGAACAGACTAACTCCATCTGCCTTTTGCACTCCACTACTTTACCATTCCTTTGCTGCTGCTTTACAAATAAGCTCCTGCTAATTTCCAGTTCAATATATCAGGCTGTGAGCTGCAAACAGACTGCAGAGCAAACATTATCTGATCAGCTGCCTTTGCACAGAGACAGTAACCTCCTGCAGAGAGGCATGCTGGACAAGTGGAAGAAGTAACTGCTTCAGCTGCCACAGTTAAATCCAATCAGTGCCCTGAGACATTACTCACCGCTGCCTTGAGATACACAGCAGTCTATCAAAGACAATCAAAGCAAACAAAGAAGTTACCTGTGCTAAAGGGCTTAGTGTGGGAAAAAAAAAAAAAACAGCTCATCAACTCACACAGTGGGAAAATGAAATGGCAGTTGAGTTTGAACCCTTTTAAGAAAACATGGGGTTTAAACAGGTTTTTAAATAGTACTTGGATAGAACTGAATTCATACTAGTAAGCCAGTCAGCTGAGGCAAACCAGGAACTGAGGATGGGAGACTGGACTGATTTTTTAGTTGTATGTGTCTCTCCAAAGAGATGAGAGTTTCTGCAAGCATTACCTATGCTACCTGTACAAGCATATCATTTAATTCCACCAAATAACCTCTGAAAGAAGCAGAAAGTTGAAGAAAGGGGGTTATAATACAATTACTGTGATAACTATCACAATGCTTGTCAAGTCTGCAGGTCACTAAAATAGCAGCATTAATGCTACCTTTACGCTTTGTTATTTTTGCCCTGAAGTTAATGATTTTGCTGAAAATTCTGTTCCCAACTCAAGCAGCTCATCACATACAAAGCACTTTAGACACAGAACATGGTGCAGCTCAGGCCTGAGCTACAGGTGGTAATCAGTTTCTCAAAGGAACATTCCGAGAATAAGATCTACCGTAAGGATGCCTCAACCCCATGTTATTGTCCTGAGCCAGTTAGTAAAGGAAGGAAAAAAATAGCATCCAAAATTTAGTATGATTTCATTCTCACTGGTTGAGTTAGTCAGGACAAAAAAATATAGGCTACGGTATGGCAACCCTATGAAACCAGTACTAACGATCTAACTCAGCACAAGTGAGCGTGGTTCCCAGCCTCTCGCTTTCCAATAAAACTAGAAGCCAAAATCAGCTGCATCACCAGGAAACTGGGGATGACAAGACTTTGTACGGATGGAATTAGACAGGCTAATTCTCAGCTTTGCTCAAAAGAACAAACTATGAATGAGAAATGAAAACAGGTAACCCAGCTCAGATCTCAATCCTCTTAAAAGACACATTCACAAAGAAAATTAAAATAAGAAATAAGCATTTTTCTGCCTTAAAATGCAAAATACCTGCCTAAACACTGGATGCCAATAATGCTAAGACACTGCTTCTCAGTTAATTGTGCGTGTTCTTCGTGCACATGATCACAGGATGACCCACAGGAGTCATAGCATGAGGATAAAAGTCTGAATGTAATTAGTAGATGCAAACATTTCACGTTCAGGCCCAGCTGTATTGGGAAACAGAGAAGCTGACATTTCCCAGAAGAATCAAAGGTGCAGAAGGTGGTAGCATTTACTAAGTGCCATAACTCGAGAGTAGAATGAGCTGTTTACTCTTCTGCAAGCTCAGCCACAAGATGAGGAGAGCTATCAAGAGAAAAAAAAAGACTGTCAGAGTCCAAATAACCTCTAACAATCATGGGAGCATATAAGCCACAACGAACAGCACATAAAACATGAGTGCAAGCAGCACAAATGCAGATACCTGACCTATTGCTGCTGTATCAGTCAGGTTAACCAAAACAACAAAACACAAAAGATTTAACACAATACAGCGGAGAGAAAAAAGATAATTCAGACTGAAACGCCTTTTTGTATTTCCATGAATAATCCATGAACTTCAAAAAACTATACAAAAGTGTAAGGCATTAAAGCATGGTCAGATGACAAAGACAGAGGATCAGGAATCTTTATTTCCAGATACAGGGTACAAAGCCAGCCCAGCCAGTGATTTCTGACACTCCTGTATACCTACTTTCTCCACTGTTCAAGAGTGGAATATTCACCTACCTCCAGAAAGCTGCCACAGAGCTTTTCTTCATTATTCCATAATCACATTGAACACATTCTGTGCATGCCTCAAAAAACACCTACTTCCACTGGGCCAGAAGAATTTCATCAGTTTCTTACTGACTGACTTTAACCTGGGTGTGAACGCTGCAGCGTGCTGGAGGAAGCAGCTTGTCTTTTAGCTCACAAGCCAAAAGGAAAGCCAAACTCCAGCTCTCTGCTTCAGACAAAATCAACAAGATACCGTTCAACACGGCCTTGATTCCAACTCACCACCTGCATCCATCTAAATCTGAGCTACCTGAAGTTGCTCACGAAGTAACTTATGCTTATGACTGATCTGAGAAAGAAGGCAATCTGTAGGTTAACGGATAAATAAGGATGAGAATAGAAGGAAGTAGAAATCTCTATATCCTAGATAGCAATCAGAATGCAAAGAACTGGAGGAAATTAATATTTTAAAATATTTGAACCTTGGTGCAGAAGTTTCTCTACAGATGAAAGCATCAACTGCTGTTATTCTCTTGTTCCAACCAACTATGGAAACAGGAATAACCTATAAAGATCATCACTACCTGACGTCTGGCTTTCAGAATACAAACTTTTATTCACAGATACTCTGAACAGACTGATGTAACAAACGTTACGTTTTGTTGGGTAACTGGCAGAAGAGATCACAGCTGAACAAGGTGGCAGCATTTCTTGAGTGTTGTATCATTGGCCTTTCAAAGAAGAAAAAAGTAGGGCAGTTTCTTAGCTTCTGAAATGTTATCACTGTCCTACCAAACATGTTAAAAAATATTGCAGGGCAAGGTGAGGATGGCAAAGAGAAGGTCACTCACATTTGCATAGCCTACATTACAGACTAAATTAAACTGATCTCAGCATGCAAAATTTACTGCTCATGCTCAGTGCTAAATCAAGTCTTACACAACACCTGTTTTTTTCCTCTGGCTTTCTATGACATTTTGCAACAGATGCATTATGTGTTATTTACAGGTAATTTCCATACCAACTTAGTTGTGTAAAAAAGTTGACTTGGGAAGGCAGTTACATAAAAGTTATGAAAAACAAACAGATGGGGAAAAAAACAGGCATTACCAGGCATACCTGAGCTCCTTCAGGTCTTCCTTAAAAACCTAGAAAGACAAAGAAGGTGAAATTTTAGAGGATACAGCAATGAAAGACAATTTCTTACCAAGTGAACTAACAGTAGCTACTTGCTTCCTATCTCTCACCCAAAAGTTTTAGTGTCAATGCCAGTAATTTTGAAATGATTGAAAAGAATTTCAAGAAGCGTTCAATTAATTTGTGAGAAATTAATTTTAAAGGCAAGCTCTCTCAGAAGGCTTGATGTTTTGAAAGCTGCACCCCAGCCATTTCTTTCATGTAGTTACTCACAACACTACTTGTCTTCAGAGTAATGACATGACCTTATTCTCACATATGCTTTGCAGCAACTTGTTTAAACTACAACAACAGTAAAGGCAGTGGCAAAAGATGAGCACTGTCTCAATGTTTCCTGCAATGTGTGTTTTCCCAATACGCCTGGGTCAATAAGGACACAGTCTGTTAACTAGGGAGAGGTGTCAGAAGCTCAGAAGAGGTTTGCTCACATAAAAACAAAATTAGAAAAGCAGAAGAGAATATAACATTAAAAAAAAAAAAAAGAAAATAGCCATGAAAAGGGAACGAGAGCCAGGACCATGGCAGGTATATTCACATTCACAGACAACATCTACAGCATAAACAGAAATAGCACTTTCTCCTAGCTCCCACTAGACTGTTCTGACCGTAACTCCTTCCTTCCCTTACAGTAGAGCTATGAAGACATAAAATTTCCCCTATTTCTTTGTCTGTAAGAGTAAAAAAAATGCACAGTATATGTGAGCACATAGGGTAGGAAAGAGCGTTGATGCCAATGAAATGACACTTTGCAAAGGTTTCTTTAGGAGTTAATAAACATGCATTGCAAACAAGATGCTTAAGCAGAAAAAGATACAGTAATCTCTTTCCTACAGATTTAAGGAACACTCTTCTGAAAAGCTTACTGTAAATCTATACAAGCAAAAACATCTCTGTGTTTCTAAGAGTTTCTTCTAATTACTCTAACTTGGAGCAACATTTTCACGTGGAGCTCCTCACTCTGGCAAACAGCAGCTCAATGGTAACTCACATGTGGCACAACTGTAACTGATTAAGGCTCTGGGTCCTCCCACAACTTACTTCTTGTTTGAAAGTCGATAAGGGGAGTCTCAGTGCTTCTCGAAGAAGGGTGTACATGCCAGAAATGAGGAAAGCAAGCTGCTCTTCAGAGAGGTCGGTGCTTTCTGCAATCAGCTTGACTGATTCTTTGCAGTCTTTTCCTTCCAATGCATTCACAGTGACTGTGAATAAGACAGCAATGCAAGATCCCTTTAAAAAGTGGAAGACCTGGTGACAGTGAACACCTCCTATACTCATGATTTTACTTGTTCAATGTGCTGACATTTTTCCAGATATGAAACTATCACTTCAAGTTACTGTAAAGACTTCTATCTGATCATCTTCCACCAGTCAGTCACTTTATGAAGAGAACTTCAACATACTAAGCTTTTGCATTTTGAAACTGAAGACGCTTTAACTGTGGAATATGTTCCAGAGGGACAATGGAATAAAGATTAATAAAAATTCATTGCTCACAAGCTCAGGTCTGACTGGAGCTTCTATCGTTAAAGTTGTTCACATCTGAAGTCTGTTTACAACTTAATAATCTTATACACAGGTTTGAAAGCGACAAGAGAGTAAACAACATTGTTTTCCAGCTTTTCACAAAATTTATCTTTCAGTAGCAGTACAGACTAATGGTTAAACAGCAAGGAGGCAAAACTAAACCTTCAAGTCTTGTAGTCTGCACAACAATAGTGCTCTGAGGGAAATGACTGTTAGTCCATGCAGCAATACTACATACTACTAACTGGCGTGGCACATCAAATTCAGTGATGAGCTCTGAACCACTCACATGGCTGACTCAGTTTGCCCAGCGCCATCACAGTGCACATTTTGCACAGATGAGCTAGGAAGGGCAGGGAGCAACTAACACCAAGCTTCCCCCATTGCCTGAAAAAGGCTTTGCTCTAAGACAAAGAAGGTTCCTTTCAGAAGAGGAAGAAAATCCAATTTTCTGCAAAAGCCAAGTGCATATCAGCACTGAGGCCTCTTTGCTGCATCAGGTGCAGAGCAGGACAGGTTGCTGACTACTACTCACGTATTTAAATATAGCTCCAGTTTGTCTAGACAGCTTTTATGACAATGTCTTCTTCCTACAGACCAATCTTAACAACTGGTTAAAATCCACTGTCTTCTTTTAAAAGCTACTCACTTTGCTCAAGACTACAAGACTTTTTTTTACTCAGAATTGTTCGAGGAACTCAGAAATATCAGCTGACCCAGCATTTCTAACAGTCAAATGGAGGGAGAACAACCCAAAAAGCATCCCAAAGAAGTCTCTCTGCTAAGCCACTTGCTCCCAGTAGATGATACACGAGGTCACAAACTTCTATTTCAGCAGAGCCTACAATACTGGGTAACCATGAGATAATGGTGTATACAGTTCTTATGTCTTTAACCAAGCAGGCACATGAAGCACCATCTAATTGTTTTATTAATTATTACTTAGCGATAAATTGGCAGCAACAGCCTCAAAAAGACAACTTGGTGCAAGCACCGGAGCAATTTCGACACAGCCTGTTGAAATCCAAGACCTGCAGCGCTCTGCGAGCTGCTAATCACAGACCATCACCAACAGAAGACACGCGGGTGCCTCCGCCAGTCCTACAGGAACAGGCAACCCCACCCTCCCGGCAGTGGCGGACACGGGCACTATAATGACCCAATTCGGCATTGTTTACTTTCTCTACCCTAAGATTCGAAGGACTGTTTGCTCCCCCTAGGGTAGCAAGCAGGCATGGCACACCACAACGTGGCTGCTATCTCAGCCATCCCGCAAAAGACCGTTTAGGGGACGGTCAGGCTTCCCAGCACTGATAGAAGTTTTTACTCTCCATTGCCCCACCACTAGGCAGCAAATACAGTTCCACGTCTGCAGAAACTTTTGTCCCCAATGCCCCTATGTGTAGCTTTATCGCGTTCAGATGCCATAAGGAAATCCTGGCTACGCTGCCTCATTACTGACAATATACAGTAATGCTTTTAAAGACTTAAAAAAATAAAAAACAGCAGCAACAAAAAACATACCAGCTACCAGATACTTTGAGTTCATATTGACTAAAATGAGGAAAAAAGCCTGGGAGGCAGTTAGTAAAAAGGATGAGCACAGCAGGGTCACAGCCCTACCAGCATAGGTTAGGGGCTGATGTACTGGAAAGGAGCTCTGAGGACTTTGGGTTTCTGGTGGAAAACAGATTGGTCAGGAGCCAGCAGCATGCTCTTGTGGCCAAAAGAAGGCCAATGGGACCCCGGGGTACATTACAAAGTGAGTGGCCAGCATGTCAAGGAATGCGATCCTTGCCCTCTGCTGTGCCATGATGAGGCCACATTTGGAGCTGCATCACAGAATCACAGAATGGCCCAGGTTGGAAAAGACCTCAAGAATCATGAATCTCCAACCCCCATGGTGGCCACAGGCAATGCCACCAACCTCCACATTTCATAGCAGCCCAGGCTGCCCAGGACCCCATCCAACCTGGCCTTGAACACCTTCAGGGATGGATGGGGCATCCACAGCCTCTCTGGGCAGCTGTTCCAGCACCTCACCACTCTCATAGCAAAGAACTTCCCCCTGACATCCAACCTCAATCTTCCCTCCCTTAACTTAAAACCATGTCCTGTTCTGGACTCCTCAGTCCGAAAAGGGAACTTTCAGAGAGAATCCAGGGAAGGGCCACAAAGATGACGAGGGGCCTGGAGCATCTTCCTTCTGGGGAAAGGCTGAGAGCCTCCAGTTCAGCCAGGAGGAGACTGTGAGATCCCCTTGCTGTTTATAAATCCCATAAATACATAAAAAAATGCAGGAGTCAAGTTGACGGGCTCAGGCTTTTTTCAGTAATGTGAAGCAACAGAACAAGGGGTGACAAGCAGAAACTGGAACACATTTAGTTCCATACAAACATGAGGATAACTCTTTTTTACTTTGAGCGTGGCACAGCTGCCCACAGACGTGTGGGGTTCTCCTTCCCTGGAGATGCTCAAACCCATCTGTGTGGGTTGCTGTGCCACTGCTGTAGGGAACCGCATCGGGGTGTTGGAGTGGGGGAGGTCTTGAAGACACTGCTATCCCTTATGGCTCTGTGACTCTGATTCTGTGGGCGAATCTCGTGAAATATAGGGAACCGCGGAATACATGGCACCTAAACGCGGAGAAAGGCATCGGGGACCGGCCAGGCTGCGGCGCTCAGCTGCACGGAACCCCCTTCCCTGCGTGAGAAGGCCCAGTGCCGGGCCGTACCTTTCAGCAGGCGGCGGAAGGTCTCCTTGCCTACTTCCTGCAGGCCGCGGGCCATCGCCTCCACCTCGGCCGGCAACCGCGGCCCCAGGAAGCCGCCGCCTCCGCCGCCGCCACTCTCGCTGTGGCCGTAGGCCGCTCCCGCCGCCTTGCCCACCACCGCCATGGCAGCGCGGCCCCAAACTTGGGCCACTGCTCGGCCTCTGGCACTGTGGGAGGCGCTGCCCTGTGGCGGCGCGCCGGAAGTTGGCCGGCCGGCGCCTCGTCACTTCCGGCCGGCGGCCGCTCATGGCGGCGCCTGCGGCTCGGCCTCTGCGTGCGTGAAGCGCCCGCCCGCCTGCCCGCCGCCATGACCGAAGAGCTGTACGAGAAGTTCCTGGCCCCTGACGAGCCGTGCCCCCTCCTTTCGCACCAGCACCCTCCGCGGGGCGGGAGCCTGAGCGAGGAGGGGTGCCTGGACGTCAGCGACTTCGGTTGCCAGCTCTCGTCCTGCCACCGCACGGACCCACTGCACCGCTTCCACTCCAACAGGTCTGTGGGGCGAGACGCGCTGCCTGGGCGCTGAGGCTGTGCCCCGTTCTGTGCGGGCCGGGGCAGCCGCGTAGCTGTGGGCTCTGCTGGGCTTTGAGGCGCGCGGGTTCTTCCCGATTTTGTCTTTTTTTTTTTAAAGCGCTGTGAGCGGGCACCTGGGGTGAGCTGTGGTGGTTGTAATTTAAATCGGCAGAGGCGTGGACACCAGCAAGCCTGCGGAGGTTGCGAGTGAGTCAGGAGCTCGGTGACTATAGCGATCCCATCCTGTGCTGCTAGTTAAGGGCAAATCCTTCGGTCTGTAGTTCGTAGAGATGGCCTGTTCTAAAGAAACCGGTTGTACTTAAAAAATAAAAGCCAAGCAGCCTTGCCTGCCTAATTTCACGTGTGAGTATGTGTGGAACTAAATTTGAGTACAGCTGTATCTTTTACCAGAATTGTTTGTGAGACTTCAGCCTTTGGCAGGTGTGTGGTAGTTTTAGTTCCCATTCCAGTGTTACAAAATGCTTGCACTGGTTGTTGGTGTTTCTACTACGGCATTACGAATAAAAGTGAATTGGTGTGAAGTGACAATGTGAAGTGTGAAATAATACTTCAACAGTGTTTTTCAAAGGGGCAGTTTCTTAATTGTTGGTTTTTAAATGATTCAGTATGAGAAACACTGATCAAATAGTTGTTGTGATACAGTGATTTTAAGACCTAACAGTGACAGGAATGGTAAGGTGCACGGTATTTGTGGACTAAATGCTGGCTTGGGGGATACCATGCATTTGTTTCATGTTTCTCTTTTTGTGGGCCTGTGCTTTCTGAGTGTTGTCTTCAGTGTTGCTCATTTTACAAACTCAGGTACAAAAGGCATTTTGAGTCAGTGCTGTGTTGTGTTGGGTTTAACTGTTGCTCCCAAGGGCTTTCCATGTTTCAAAGCCACAAGTCATTGTAAAGCAGTAGCCCCTTCTTTTTCACCTACTTTATCCCAGCAGGTAGAGCAGGCTCCCTGTGTGTGAGGTGACGGCCTACACCTGCAGTGGTGCTACAGCACACCTAGGGTGCCTGCATGGTTGGTTAGTGTTAGAGTCCCTGTACCTCTCCCTGTGCTTTGATAGGTCTAAAAACTCTCTGCTCTCCCTCCTTTCCTCAGTGTTTAATGAATATTGAAATTGTGATGTTCGGAATTATGTTGTTATCACCTCTCTTCTATTATACACGGATTGATTACCCTGCCTGCAAAGGTCTGTACCAGTGTGAAATAACACATGGGTAAGGTTTGCAGAAAGGGAGAGTAGGATCTCATGGATCCTCTAAAAGGGAAGTTTGTGGAATGCCTTTGATGTCGGATGAATTCATACTTGCCAAATAGATGTGAAGTGAGTCCGCTGCAAACAGCCAGCCAGTATGCAGCCTAAATAATGATGGTGGGGAGCAGCCTGTCTGCATTATGGCACTGCTCAGCTTTTGCAATTGGGTAAGAAAGTGTTTTCTCTGGTTGGCCAGACTGAAGTGCGTATACTGATAGAATGAGAACTTACTGTGTGCGTTTGCATGGTGAATTTTAAAAGCTTTTGCAAATAGTTTTGGCTGTATTGCAGAGCTGTGCTGACTCACAGTTGTCTCGACCTAGTTTTTACCAGTGTGTAATATAAATCCAGAGATGGAGGCTGGTTTTGTGAGCTTGTTAAATTCTGGCTTGTTCCCAGGAAATACATTCTGTGAAATCTGAGTCTTCAGTCGTTTTATTCAGCAGCAATGTTAACTCTCTTTTTAAAGAAATTATGAGGAAAAAGGTGTTTTGATCTGGCTTAGCAGCGTTTTCATACGTCAGGTTTCCATCTTGCACTTAATTGTAACAACGTATTCGTTGGATGTGTCTGTTTTTGCCATTCAGAGTTGAAAACAGTGAATGACGAAGCTTCATCTATCTCTGTGCTACACTGGCAGTTAAATATTAGTTTTGTATGGGATTGTCATCCTAGAACTACTTCTTGACTCTAATTTGGAATGTAGATTAGTGAGTATTGTACATTCCAAAAGGCTAATTGATTTCCTCCTTAGTTTTTCTTATTTCAGTTTTTGTGATAGTTTTAGGAAACTTTAGCATATTAAAAATTAAAATAAAACAGGCAAAAAATGTACATGCTGTGGGATTCGTCATTCTGAGATGGAAAGCGTTAACACTTTACGATGAAAATATAAATGTCTTTGGGTTTTTGCCTTGCTGCTTTCTGTTGTTAATGGACCTTTTAAAATATTGAAAAAATAGATTTCTTGCATTTAAATAATTAAAATGTATTTCAGTGTGAATGCAGTCATGTTGCTGACAAGCAAAGCGGAGATAATATTTTGAGCCCTAGGGGAACTAAAGGTTTTTCTGGACACGTGATGGCAATGTAGTTGCTGCCTCCTGATTGTTTTGTCCTGCTTTACAGATGGAACCTGACTTCTTGTGGAACTAGCGTGGCCAGCTCAGAGTGCAGTGAGGAGCTGTTCTCCTCGGTTTCAGTTGGCGACCAAGATGACTGCTATTCTCTGCTGGATGACCAGGAGTTCACCTCTTTTGATTTGTTCCCTGAAGGCAGTGTCTGCAGTGATGTCTCTTCCTCTATCAGCACATACTGGGATTGGTCAGACAGCGAGTTTGAATGGCAGGTAAACTGTAAATGTTCCTCTGTAAATGTAAAATTCTGTATAGGTTATTAAGTGCTGGATTTAGCTTTCAGTGAAAAATCCTCCATGTTTTTCTTTCCTTGATAACTGCTGAAACCTAGGAGCAGATAACTGAATCTTCAGTGATAAGGAGAAGGTTTTGTTCTGTTTTGTCCCAGAGTACTTAGTCTGGAGGAGAGTCTGAAAGTTGGCTCCTCAGAGATGAGTGGTTACATATTATGGTTTCTTTGTGACCAACATACAGGGCATAACCTCACAGCTACAAGTTGTGTCTTCAGGGTCTGCCCTGCAGGTGCTGTATGACCAGATCTATATGTCTGTTTTCACTGACTTGGCCATCTTGAGTCTTCTGTGGAAATTGAGCTGGCAGCTTGATAAAGTGCAGAAGTCTTGCTATAGCCTATTTCCATTTTTTTGGGGGGGGGTTAAATTTAGGAGCTCTCTTTGTCTTCCCTGGATGTGAAAAACTGTAAACTGTTTTTTTTTTTTTTTTCTAGTCTGTATATAATGTGGTCTAGCTTTGGTCTTACTATTTTATCAGTCTTTTAATGGTATCATATAATCACAGTGTGGAAAGGACCTTAACATCTACACAGTTCCAACTTCTTTCTGTCTGCAGGTTGCCCCCTCTCCCCAGCTCAAAGTGCCCGGGGACCCATCCAGCCCAGCCCTGGGCACCTGCAGGGACGGGGCATCCACAGCTTCTCTGGGCAGCAGTACCAGTGCCTCAACCACCTCTGAGTAAAAAATTTCCTCCTAATATCTAACCTAAATCTCCCCCTTGTTTGATTTAAAGCCATTTTCCCTTGTCCCATCACTATCACAGTCTCCCTCCTGTTTATAACAGGAGCACTGGAAGGCTGCAGTGAGGTCTCTCCAGAGTCTTTTCCAAGCTAAACAAGCCCAACTCCCTCAGCCTGCTTTCATATGAGAGGTGCTCTCTGAGTCCTCTGAGCATCCTTGTGACCCTTTTGTGGTTGTGTTCCAGGTGCTTCTTGTATTGGGGGGCCTTAGGCCTGAGTGCAATACTCCAGCACTTAAAACTTCTTGTTTTGTAGACTTAAATCAACTTCTAATGTGCGCATAACTTTGAAATAGGAAATACTGTGCATCAGAATACATTGAAGAATGTGTTTGTTTTGTCATAAAGCTTAGACAAAGCATCTTGTAAATGCAGCATAGGGACTGAATACAGCTTTCAAGAAAGTACAAATTCTGTTCTGAAAGATTCAAATAAGCATAAGATAATATGGACTGAAATTTGTTCTGAATTTCTTACTACTTTTGTCTGTTAGTGTCTGTAGGTTTTGAAGTTACAAGTGTGTAGTGCAGCCTGGAGGAGCAATTTTGGTTGGATCCCAATGATTCAGTGTTTTGCAGAGGAGTGAAATTTTAGTTGCCTGATGAACTGGGGGATTGTTTTGAAAAGAAGGAATTTCTCACATCTTAGTTAGCTGACAACATGTTTGATTAGTAACCAGCTTTTTTTTAACAAGCCTTTTTTTCAGAGACATGATTGATTCAACTTGTACCATTTTTGAAAGACTTTTGTAGTTTTGTACAGTGTTCTCTGGCACAATCTAAGTATGAGTAATCCAGCTGTCACACTGTAACTGGAAAAGCATTCAGAAATTATATGTCAGTTGTACATATGAAGTTAGCTAACATTTTGCAGTTGCTTCCAGGAAAGTGACAATTTTAATTGAGTTGTATCACGTAATTATGGGATGTGGTATAAATTACAGACCTACTCTGAAGAGATCTTTCCTAAAGTAAGTATATGAGGTTTGGCTTTAGAATGTAATGGGCAATTTACAGTGAGAGAAGGGAAATACTGAAGTGCCACATCATTCTGTTCTTAATTTAAATGTAATTAAAAAAAAAAAAAAAAAGAGGTCTATGTTGAGAGTAGTGTGATTTGAGTTTGCTGTGCTTGCAGATTGTAGAAAGGCTAAAGAAGTACTGTAGGTTTTTCAGTAATTATTAGGTAGTTGTTAGAGCATACAGATAATGATGGTTTGCTAATTTGACTCTGTTTTGAAT